AGGAATGATGGCATCGGGTTGCGAAGCATCGAAAAGTCCATCGCAACAGGAACCGAGCGACTTCGCTGGCGCTTGTGACCACGCGGTTGAAAGGGAGCAGGCGCAAGATGTGTCTCCTGAAACATACCCATGTGGTGAGGGTGTTGAAGATGGTTTGGTTGGGAAGCGGGCCGGTGGTTGATGGGCGAGACCGGTGCCGAGACGGCAAATGTGTTTGGGTCGTACATGTTGTGTCGGTTCTGAAACGACTCCAGTGAGACAAGTTTCGCCAACTGTCCGCTCAGCACCTTCGGGTGGCCACCCAAGTGGTGCAGCATGATGTTTGATGCTTGCTGGTCCTCGGTAAAGTCGCCGCACTGGAAGAATCCACCCGAACCTGATGAGTCCATGAAAAAGTTCGGTGGTCGGTTGAGCTCAACAATTAGCCCTCCTGGGCGTTGCGAAGCACCCTCGGCATTCGCGGTCATGTCACCGTTCTCCAGCGAAATATTTTTGATGTATGAGAATGGGTACTCAATTTTGTAGCCCGCGGAGTCGTTGTTGATGTAGTACGTGATGCAGCACTTCTCAGGCGAGTAGAAGACTACAAGGTCCATGGCGCTTTGTCCGACTCTTCTCCAGCTACCGATGCTGAGGGAGCGGCAGGCAAAGTGGTGAATGACAACCTTGGAGTTGTTGGCGTCTGTGTTGAGAAGCATGCCACTTCCGTATGGCATACCACCTGCTCGGCCTAGGAAGCTAGTACCAATTGACTTGCCAGACTCCATGGCCTGTAGGGCGAGGTATCGTCGCATTGACTCTGGGATGTCATTGCAGTCGTCACCGTTCTCAATGCTCTTCTTGGCAATGTTCTTGATCTTGGCACGTCTATGCGATTGTCAGTACTGCGCGTCAGCATGCTGCTCGGTATTCCTACCTGTTCTGGAACCAGATCTGGACTGAGCGCTCGGTCATGTTAATTTCCGAGGCTATTCTTTCGCGAGTAGCAGCAGTGGGTGTGGGGTTCTTGTTGAACTCCACTTCAAGGGTCACCAGTTGGTCTTGGGTAGCCCTCTGTCTCTTCTGGTTGCGCTGCTGCTGGGTGAGGGTGCTTTTACGGGGAGGTCGGCGCGGGGCAGAGCCCTGCGTCGGTGTCGAGGATCCCGCTGGTGGGGATGGGGTCGGCGAGACCATTGCGTCGTCGTTTGACTGCATGCTGGGTGGTAGGTGTAATCGGAGCGCGGGAGTTGACTCGATTCGAAGTGGGATGGAAGATATAGAGGGAGCAATCGAGCTGACACCTCTGTCTATCTAGGTTCGTAAAGTGTCGTGAAGTAATGGTCCAAGCAATGCTGGTGGGTGAAGATGATAAAGCTATGCAAAGCTTGTAAGAGTTCAAGGTCACGGGAAATGGTTCCACGTGTGTATGGAACTCGAGACACCGTCCAGGCGCGTGTGAAGTGTGAAGGGAGCTGCTGACCGGGGAGCAGATGGATCGTCCGAGAGCGAATCCAAGTCGAGAAAGAGTGAAGGAGGTGGTGCTAGGGAGCGGACGGACAAAGCCTAAAGGAGGGTTGTGAAGAAAGGAACGTGGGCAAAGGCCGAAAGGAGTGGCGGCACTTCGCAGAAGTCGACAGAGAAAGAGAAAGTGAGTTCTACCACACCGACAGCAAAGGTGACGATAGGGAATCCGGATAGAGGAGCTGGGCCTTGGATGTAAATGAGCGACCGTGGTTTAGAAAGGGGAGATTAAGGGAAGGGGCATTGAAGCCGGGGGGAAGGTGCGCGCCGGCTAGTGTGGGCTGGGCAGAGCGCCTAGTGGCCCAAGTTTCCGCCCAGAGACAGTTTTAGCCCAACGCTCAACGCCAGCCCTGGAGGCGCGAGACCAGTGGTGACGCACCAAAACGCTTATGTTCTGAAGTAAACCATGCTCGCAGCACTTTGACCGGATGCTCCTCCGCTCTACACAACAGCCACGACAGCCGCCTCTGGTGCGAATGTCTTCTGCCCGCCCGCAACGCGCGCTGCCCGCAATAGCTCCGATCAGGGGGCTAGCTGCTAGGAGCTGCGAGGTACGTCGGAGTCGCGCCACTAGAGACGTGACGACAGGGGTTGAGGACAGGCTCTGTTCCAAGACTCAGGAGACTTGCGCCCATAGGGCAATCCTTGCCGCGAGGCTCGCCGATACAACAACACGCATCGCGATACCTGTCAGAAAAGAGCGTGCATGAACTTCGCTCGCTATTCGAAAAGACCGCGACGACGTAGTGCTCACGGTCCGCTTTAGCGTGTTCCGACAGGTACCCAAACAACGCGCTCCACACAGCAGCATGAGGCGCGACGGTTGTCGCGTTTGAGAAGCCCTTAGTCTGCGATTGCTCACCACAGCATCGGAACAAGCACAGCAGAGCATCAAGTCAAGGTAAGCGTGAACGTGACTGCAAGCGTGAATGCAGGCGGCTGGCACGCATCCGTCGTACCTGGCGTGCCTCGCCGTACGCGCCCACAATTTTGGTGCTGACAATGTGCGGCACAGCGCGGCCCATTTCGGTATCGTGAATACTTACTCGAGTGAGCCTCGTGCGGATCGCTCGGGTGAGCCGAGCATGAGAAAGATCCTGACGAGCATCGGTGCCCGTGCCGCCTGATCGCGGCCATCCTGACACGCTCGTCGCCCGGTCAAAAAGCCACGAAAGGGAAATTATTCAGTTTTGGCAAAGTCGTAATAGTTCGTTGATCTCGAGAGTGCCAGCTTAGCTAGCTCGTCGCCCGTCTTGTCGCCCTACAGCTGTCAATCTATAGTACCAATCGCTTCCCTGCACGATTAATTGCAAGGCTTACGCCAGGCACGGCGGTGTGAATGGTGGACGCGTCGGCAAGCGAGCGACGACAACCACCAACCCGGAAACTGACTTATTATCCACCAACGATATTGATATGGTCCGCTCCGAACGCGGCCTCGACCGGATCTGCACACCTCTTCCCACACTCAACTTGCGGAAGCTGAAGACCCGTCCTTGTATGCTCAAACTTTTGTCTTGAAAATTCCATGTGTAACAGATTATTGTGAATCGTGCTACTGCATTGAAAACAAGTCCAAGCAGCCCGACGCAGTGTGACGAGCAGCGAACATCCCCATACTATGTTTCAGCGTTGCACCACTCGGGACCAAACTACGCCATAATGCACGCTTCGCTACTTACTCGAGTCCTAGCTTCTGTGGTATGTCGTGTTCAGAAAACACATGGTCGTCATCGCATGGGTATCGTGAAGGCCCTTCCGTCCTTCGTTTGAGTCCCGCTGTTTGACGCGATCGTCTTCTGGAAACCATTCCTTCATGCTTTGACCATGTGCGGGAGAAGTGTTTCTAGAACCCCCACTGTCGACGGTAGTGGTAATCAGGTCTGATTCAGTTGAGTCAGTTCGGCCGATTTGGGATCCTTCGTGCGCAAAGAGGAATGGTCGGTCTGTCTAGAGATTCAGATGTCGCAGTCTGTGCCTGTTTTCGTTCATGACGAGTACTGCAGCTCAACACCGACAGAACGGACCATCTGCTCTCTCTTCTTCAGGTCCAGACTCGCACCGAGCGTGAACAGCAGCTCCTTAATCCTGCCCTCCCACAACACCCCAATGCGCCAATCCTGATCGACCCTAGCCTTGAGCACTCCAGAGACGTCGTCATCTGGGGAAACTGTTGAGCGTTTCCAATCCGGACGCAGCTTCTTGATCGCCCAGTCTACGTCGGTTGTGTTGCGAATACGCCAAAGCTCGCACCCGAGCTGCAGCTCGCTTTCATACGAATAGAAATTAAAGTCAAAGCGAGAGGAAAGGGCCAGGTTGGGGCCAGCCTTGACGGCATAAGTGGAAGAAAGATTTCCCATCAACGGATTGAGCGTGAGCGTCATCGTATACGGAAAGCCCGCATGGTTGGGCAAGGTGGCGAACCTCACCCCTGTGCTGATACCCCCGCTCTTGTTCAGTATGCCATAGTACAGCTCTGCGCCTGCACTGAAGCGACCATCCACAGGACCCACTTGCTCTGCAGCGAGCGGTTCTGTGGACGCATCTCTGGGGCCTGGACCGAAGTTGTAGAGACCCCGGACGCCCATCAACGCTGAGTCTGTGCTGTACATGTATTCCGTGCTGTATTTGCCGAAGTCGTTTTGCAATAGTGTCAGGATCGTCCCGCCATTGTTGAGATTGGAGTCGCTGACGGCGGCGATCCTGAGCTGTCGTGTAGGGGCGAGGCGGCGCAAGTACAGGGCTTCGAGCCTCTGCTGTGGTAGGAATATGCGCCCATACAACAGAGTATCTGTCATAGATTAGCGGGGATACAGAAAGATAGTGTCGTCAAGCTCACTCTTGCGGTCTACCCTTTGGCCAGCATGCCAAACCTCCCACCACCACTTCTCGTCCGGTCTCCGCAGCTCTTGTACATGTTTGTAGCCTCGTATGACATTGTGCAGGTCAATATGGGACGTCCTGAAGTCCTTCTGCAGTGGTAGCGACGAGTACAGGTAGGACACTGAGCCATCCACTACGCCCACGCTGCCTAGTGTGTACGATGTTGCAAAGTTCGGGGCAGCTAGAGAGGAAATCTGCATGCGCAGACCTCTGGGTATGTCAAAGTCGAGCAATGCTGTCAAGTGCAGTGAGTATTGGGTGTGGAACGCCATCTCAGGAGTGACGTACCTCGTGCCGACGCGTTCAGTGCGCCATAGGAATTGTCCACGTTCCAGCTGGATGCCTCGTAGAATGCATGCTGCACACTATCCATGAAGTCCAACATGTCTCTGTCATCGGCAAATCATGTCGAGCGAACTGGGGTGAGGTAGGAGTGCCAAATGCTTATACTTTGGGGAATGTGAGAAGGATCCACAGCGGAGTTCAGCCGCGGCTGCACCAATCGGTGGTTCGCCAAAATTCCCCGCTCATTTTTTTGGAAGTCGCGAACCTGCAACTTCGAACTTTTTCCTGAGCGCAACCTCAACCAACCACAACACTTGCACAGCACCGCCAAAATGCCGAAGTCAAAGCGCGCGAAGGTCGTACATCTTACCAAGACGGACAAGAAGGGCAAGGAGCTGTCTTTGAAGCTTTTTGCCAATGTCCAGGAAGCGGCGGACAATTTTGAGCACATCTTTGTCTTCGCCGTAGAGAACATGCGCAACTCATACCTCAAGGAACTTCGTCAAGAGTTTGCCGATAGCCGGTATGTCTATGGGACCGCTTTTACCGAAAGCGCGCATGGTTAACGATCGCGCAGATTCTTCTTCGGAAAGACCAAAGTAATGGCGAAAGCGCTTGGACTCACCCCAGCTGAAGAGCACCTCACCAACCTCTCGGAGCTTAGCCAGCATCTCAACGGCAATGTTGGACTTTTCTTCACCAACCGCGACCCCAGTGAGATGATCGAGTACTTTGCCAACTACTCGCAAACCGACTTTGCGCGCGCCGGTATCGTTGCTACACAGACCTTCACAGTCCCCGCCGGTGTAGTCCACTCAAGAGGTGGAGAGATTCCCGAAGACGAGGACGTGCCCCTCCCGCACAGCATGGAGACCACCATCAGGAAATGGGGCATGCCAACGAGGCTCGACAAAGGCAAAATTGTGTTGGATGTACCGTATACCGTCGCGGAAGAGGGCAAGGTCATGAACAGCCATCAAACAGCGCTACTGAAAATGTTCGGTGTGGCCATGGCAGACTTCAAGATCGACCTCAAGGCCTACTACACCAAGGCGACCGAGTCTGTGACCGAGGTTGGAGCTATGGAGGAGTAAGGAACAAGCGAGAAGGAACAAATGCTCAGTTTAGTTGCATTGTGACGGCGTTTCTTAGGCGTTTGGTTTTGACCAGGGAAAAGTATGCTAGATGACTTTGACAGACAGGCTCAAGTCAACTCTACGAGCACATCACAATATACCCTATTATGTTGGCCCTATACATCGCTAGACCTTTCGACGACTATTATACTTAAGGTGTTGCTTTTCAGCTTTCCGTTCTTTACCACAAAACTATGACGGCCTGCTACAGCATCGCTAATCCAGCTACAAGGCCTCCCACGAGAGCTCCGAATGTCTCCGGGTAATTCACGACACCTGCACCCGTCTCAGCTGGGGCCGATGCACTCGTCGTAGTCTCATCAGCCGTAGGTGTCGCTGTGCGCGAAGTCCTAACTGACGTAGAGGAGTGTGTTGAGGAATGCGTTGAGGAATGCGAGGTTGTAGAGTTGCGCGATAGCGTCGAAGTCGAGAGTGTCGAGTTGGCCATAGCGCTAGACATGGAGATGATACCTGAGCTCCTCGACGCCGTGAGTGTGGGTAAAGTTGAGAGTACTGGAGCGGACTCGGTGACTGATGGATAGACAATGGTGCTTGGGCCGAAGAATGGCGCAGTGTCCGGGTCGAACATTGGGCCGGTATCTACATGTCGGATCGCTTGATTAGAGTTGTATTCACCAAACAACCTTCAGCACTATTGCTTGACTTAAACTTACAGCTCGAGGTCTCTTGCGCAAGCGCAAGAGCTACAAGGCCAAACAACGCAACGACCACCTTCATCTTTTACTTTCTGGTCTGGGTACCTAACCCGGTGTTTTACACTAGTAACGGTAGAGGTGAAACTCAATACTGATGGTCCGCGGACTTTGAGACGTGCAAGCAAGCAGTAAGACAGTAGGATATATTAACAAGACGAAGAGAAAATCCAGAGTAAAGACCGACTAGGAGCTGAGTGAATGCGAGAGAGCCCAACACGCGCGCGCATCACGAACGACAGAAAACAGCGTCTTTATCTCCCATCCACTTGCCCTGTCCTGCCCAGCCAGTTCTGGCCCTCTCAGCCCCTAAGCATAGCATCTCGTAAAGAACAAGCATACCAATACTCTGCCGGGGCCCGCCCAATGATGACCGCCCAGTCAGCGTGCCCAGAAGGCACGTTCATCTCCGTGGGGCTAGACGTGTTTCGGATGGGGGCTCGTGTTCTCGTGTCTACCGTGTGCATGGCTGGCAGAGCGCGCGCACTTTTGGGCACCTCGGGACTTTAGTGGCGCCTACCTAAGCCCATTTGCCGCTATTGTGCATTATCGGACGGCGCAAGGTGTCTTTGCATCGGAAATCGAAGGCTAGAGGCAAAAGAGAGCAGGTGATGCTTGTGCCGAAAGGTTGTTTTTGTGGTGGACATGGCATTTGGATGCGTCTTAGTGGACGTTGGAGGCGCGTCTGCGGTGGAGTCACCCCACATGGTGCCCCTGATGGCTTGGCAGGTACAAGCGATGTGAGGCACGCATGCATGACGTGCTTCTTCTTCGTCGACCGCGGAACCTGCAACCGTTATCGCAATACTGGTTCTGGTACATGAAATTGTGCGCAGATCGTTGCATCTGGGCTCTGCTTTCTCAGATAACGTTTCCACACTATTACCCTCCATAAGCGTATATGGAGAAGCTATTACTGTCTCAACGGATCGTGGGTTGTTAATGCTGCTTGGTGAATGTAGGAAACGCTTGTCGGAGACGGCCTATACAGCTAGCGACCTAACGAAAGTCACTGTATAGTGAAAGGCATTCTTTATATTCCGAGAAAGCAATGACGGTAGAGATAAATAGAACAGTCTATCTAGTAGCTTCCATCTCAGGATGACGCTCAAGACAATGGCCGTTCTACGAGCCCACTGCGCAAGTCTTTTACCTCGAGCTGGGCCGCTTTCTTGTTGCATCCGTTGTCAGTTTGCATAGTGAAGGATATCGCGAAGCTACAGGACTGCTCGGTCTCCTCCAACATATGTAAAGGGCCGGCGCTGTACCCGGTATTATAACTACTTCGACCTCTATGTGCGAAATCTAACAAGGCTATGCGTTCTTGTCCAGATTTGTACTTCAGTGTCTCAGGAGGTGATTTGGACGAATCTGTCTCGAATACAGATACCATGAAAGTCGATGTAGGCACAATCTTCCTACGCTTGTGCGAGCACACGTTGAGCAATTCGACGTCCTACAACGTACATAGATGACTCCCTACTCAAAGACCATTCGTTTTTCCCCGCGCGATTCTGAGGAGTAGTGGTAAATTCTTGAGCCGCAAAAACCTGCGCGCTGTCCGTGATGGAGATCTTCACATATATCTTGCGAGCATCTATGAGATGAGCTCGTGTAGTTGTGAATGGAATGTATTACGTACCAACCAATCTTCGACTTAATCCAGTAACAGACAAATCATCAATGTAACCTTCCCATGGTGCTGCAATCAGCTCGGCTTTTCGTTTCTCTACTATATCAGCATATAGGCCCTCGGGATGAGCCTGTGACGGCTCTGAGATTATATCCACAGTTTTGCGAATGTAGGAGAGGGCGAGGAAGGCTGAGGCGGTGGAGGTCTAGCATAAGAGCGATTGGAAAGTCTCAGCCTTGCGACTACCGATCGATTTCGAAGAATTCTTCCGGCGCCACAATCAGTGCGATAATACGAGACAATAACCAATCCAGCTCAATCATCATGCTCATCGGTTGCAAAAAGTCCAATCGGAAGGCGTTGGTGAGGCGCGAAGCTGATGCCAAGGTCAACAAGGCATCCAATCAATGCATTCTAAACTCGTACACTCTGCGCCTCATAGCACCCAAAGATCATACTTGAAGGTGTTGAAGCTGCAGTAGGCTTTCCGTAGCTTTTTTCCCCATCCAGTAGAAACTCTGCCTGCTGGGTGGGTTTGATTCATTAAAGACGATAGTTGGAATCATTTTGATACGAAGTGTATATATCTTAGTCGGCAACGAGTGTATGATACAAGATGATGAAACATGCCCAAAGACCTAGAGAAACATACCGCAAGAAGGCCCTGTGCCGTGCAAAAGAAGTGTAAACAATGTAGCGAGTCGAAGAGACATATCGGCTATCTTGCATCGCCAAAAGAGCGATGCAATAATATAGAAGGCAAAGGGCACTGGAAAGGGAAGCGAAACAAGAGAGCATACACATCGCCTAGTACCTCTCGTAACCTCCACGACGACCACCTAAAGGTACTCTAATATTCCACTCATCCTCATACTGTAACGCGGAGTCCCTCCTACCCAATACATTCGGCCGCCTCATCGAATATCTCATGTCCTTCTTCTCTTGGATATGCTCAAGAGCTGCGTGGATATCACTTAGCCCAAATCGCTCATCTGGCTCGTCTCGGTCTGTGAGCGCACGTTGCTGAGGAAATTTGTAGCCTAATTCATGCCTATCCGCAAGGTATGACGAGGCGCGAAGTGGTTTGGGTGGGAAGTGCGTTTGCGCAAAGGGGTTGTGGGCGTTAGGTAGGTTGGCCATGGTGGCGCGACGGTGGTGCATGTTTGGACGGACAGTATGCGCTGCATGATCATCGAAGTATGATTCGGGCTCACGCATGTGTACACGAGGGCTGCGGGGATGTGGATAGTCGTCTACGAGCTCGTCGGGATACCTGATCTTCTGTGCCCCACGGTGGTTAATCTCCTCATCGTAGATGTGGCTGGGGTGCGGCTGATCGAGCACAGTTTGTGGTTTGCCTCTGTAAGGCGACTTACGGCGACTATGCACATGCTTAAAGGAAGGGCGGCGACGGATAGGCCTGTCCCAGACACCATCATCCGCTGTGTGGGCAGATGTAGTGTTCATAGACTCAGTCCCACTTCCACGTTCCAACGATGAGCTGGAGCTCTCACGAGCCATGTCATGTGCGGTGTATTGCTTTCCTCCCTTCCTCTTTCCATTGTAAAGGTCAGTTGGTAGAGCATTACCGTTGCGTGTACGGTCTTCCACGACGTTATTGGTGTTCAAGTGGATGTGAACAGGTGGTATGTGACCTGAAATCTTGTTGTGAGAGCCCCGAGAAGAGTCGGTAGTGAAAGACTCTGGACTGAGTCTACCATTGCGAGGATCATCAATTAGGTCGGAGGCTCGGCGTCGGCGGGTAACTTTTGGAGAATAAGGGTCGGCATTGTTTCTACGTGCACGACTTCGGCTCCGACTACGACTGCGACTAAGACCTCGAGCTTTGCTGAGTGATCGGTGTTTCTGGCTCTTCTTCGGCTTCTTGAAGTGTCGCTGACGTCCACGTTCGCGTCGACCAGCATCGATATGATCATCGTGCTCGATGTTGACAAAGCTGGAGTCCTCAGACTCATCTTCCCACGAAGATTCACTATCAGACGACGAGCTGGAAGTATCGCGATGGTTTTTGCGTCTTGGCTTCTGATGTCGATGGTGAGTAGGGTTCAGCACCTCTATTGGCCGGCCTTGATTGTGCCTCATATGATGCGGTGGCATTGGCAATTGTTCTGGAAACGTTCCAGGCATAGGATGTTGACCATTGGGGGGATGATGGGGCTGTGGGTATTGCATGGGCCCTGGCATGGGTCGACCTCCACCATTCATGGGTGGGTGTGGAGGCCCACCCATATCGTGTGGCACACCCGGAGGCGGCGGAGGCGGAGGTGGGTTTCCAGGAATGGGCCCTTGGTTGATGTTGCCATGACCTGGATGTTGCTGGGATGGATGTTGCTGGGATGGATGTTGCTGGGATGGATGTGGCTGCTGCTGCTGCGTAGGTCTTTGCTGCTGTTGCTGGGCCAAGTTCTGGCCAGGGTTGGGTTGGTTCGAGAAATGTTGATTCTGAGGATTAACCTGCTTGACCTTGTTCGGATCTTGAGGGCCACCCGGAACCATGATCTTCGCTTGCATAGGCTCTTGAAATCCGGAAGGTTCGGTCTCCAGTATGATGTCTACACGCACGAGCTGACGTTCGCGACGGTTGACTGATCGCCATTTGTTGACAACGCTTGCGATCCTATACTGAATCGAACGATTGTACTTCGCGAGTTCAACGTTCTGGTCCTCGACGAGCTCGTTGATGATCCGGCGACAATTTGGGGAGGGAATATCATTCATGTTCTTCTTGACGTTGCCATGGTTTCGACGGAACTTGTGAAGCTCACTCTGGAGCTCTTGAAGTGCAACGTGTTGCCTCTCGGGCTCGGCATCCTCCCAGGAAGTAGCATGTTTCGGTTTCTCCAAGATGAAAGATGCTAATTGGGGGTCGTAGTTGGCGTATGGGTTCAGAGGGTGCTGCTGAGATTGCGCTGGTCTTTGTTGGGCCTGTCCAAAGGCCTGCTGTTGCTGTTGTCCAGTCGGAACTTGGCGCTGTTGGCCAACGGTTTGGTGTTGATGTACCTGAGCTTGGTATTGCGCTTGCTGTTGAGCCGCCATCGTACGGTTCAAGGAGACTATTGCGCGTGATTTCCCAAAGAGGAAGTGCTAGCCAGATTATGATCAGATGAGAGAAAATCTTGTTGTTGGTGATCGAAAAGGGAGTGTAGCAGGATTAAGACACGGGAAGTGAATGATAGGGCGAGCTTCAGTATCTAAGGCAGAAACAGGAGGACCTTGACCGAAGATATAGGTCGAGCATTCTGGCTATTACACTCGAAGATGCTCGCTCTCGATCTATACCCGCAGCAGTAGTGATACCGCGTTGATGCAAGCGGAGTTAGGGGTCCTTGTTGGAGTACAGTAACCATATCCAGTCCCTTTCCCAGGGTATACATGAAACAAGAGATGATTGGTCGTCCTATAGGGCGCTCGAAAGCCCCACTATGGTATGAATATCAGGGCTTTCACCGGTCTAAGCCACCAGGCTGAGGAGGAAACAGGCAAATAGCCCCGCCCTTTTGCGTGAACATGCAGCATAGCTTTGCTTGCCATATGTCTTTGAGCCGCAAAGTGACCGGACCAAATACGAATCATCCTAAACATGCATATGCACGACGCGCTTGTGCATTGAAGGACTCGTAGCTGCTGTCTATCTGTTATCGCATGCAGCCTGATGGTGGTGGTGGTGTTCGTAATTGGTCGCACTTGCATTACACCTGCAGCGTTCAGGATCGATTCGCGAGTTGCAGACGCGAATGCTGTTGTTTTCCCCTGCCCGTTCTCGAGCTGAAGACATCAAGTCGTCGTGTAGGAGACGTTAACAGTGCGCGAAGAAGCCATGGCTCATTGACGCGTCGACGCTAACAAGGCGTCATTACCCCACTTTTGGCCCATGCACCGTTCACCACACCCTTCCGCTTCAACTCAGCCAAAAGAAGGCAACTGACCACACCAAGCCACCAACCCAAGGTGCACACAAAATATCAGGACCATTTACTTGGACACTCGCTTAGGATCGCCAAAAGAATGTCTGCTGACGTCCAGTCTATCAGCTTGTCCTTGGTCCCGCTCGGCCAATGCATCCAACGGACAGCCGCAAGACGCAATGAGATCCCGCCGGTTGCACAGAAGTCCTTCGACCGCTTTACTTGTACCCGCTGTCACAGGCGCAGTCTGTACCTTTCTTGTGCATCTGCAATCAGTTCACTCATCTCACTCAGCCCCCCCACTTGCATCACTACAGTGCATGTCAAACATTTTCGCGCTTCGCCACTCGATGTATCGCAACACTATCACACCTCTACAACTGATATTGGTTGAGCTCCCCTCTGGACTGCATGAGTTCGAGATCGTTCTGCAGCGCGGCTCAGCATAAGTTCGCGCAGCGTCGATCTACTACTGCACATTGGATTGCTGTCGCTCTTTCAACTAGAGTTTGACGCCCCTCCATGCACCTCGTCACGCCCTCCAATCTTCAGCCTCCTACCTAACCAATAGCCTTCTTGCCGGAAGCTCGCGGACAATATCAAATCCGGAGACCCTATCGACAGACACCGGATGCACGCTGTATGACACGCATATTGGCCGCTGAATGACACCTGCGACAGCCAGCCTTATGCATGTCTGGGTTGAAATACCACAACCGAATTACAGAATCATCTCCAATAGGCGAGAATGACTACAACGCCTGCAAGGAGCCGCGTCAATTATACATTTCTTTCTCCCTTGCTAATATCCACTCACCGGACACATGCGTATGCTGGCGTATGCATTGTTATCAGAACTATCTCAGGATCAGTCTCGGCCCGGGCTCATCGGCTCGTGCCAGTCGCCTCAATATTCTAATTACCAGCGTCAAGGCATCAATTCAAGCCTTCAATCACCCGGGTGCTTCTCTACCGAGAATGCCAATGCCTCGTGTAGTGCAAGTCCAATTAGGATGTAACATACCGCCATTTCAAGACTGGAAGGATGGACTGATAAACAATACTTAGCATCGAAATCGAGCAGAAATGTCGTGATCGGCACGTAGAAATCAGGATCTGGACCACACGGCACTTCTTGGGGTTGCAATCTCGTTGGCACGATCCACGGGTACTTGCATGCCTGAGACAAGGCCGAACACGATGGTTTGCCTACCCACGCTTCGCGATGCAGCCTTCCACTGGCTTTTAGCGTTCTCTTGACCGCTAGATTGATCGTTTAGCAACCAAGCTCGCGCATCTATCAGGCAGCGGCAGGAGTCATGATGGCGTTACATTACTAGGCGATCTTATCTACACTTTCGGACACACGATGCCAGGCAGTGGCCAATTTTGCGATTAACATTGGACAGACCGATAAGGAAACACTGAGAAGGTGTCTCGATGACTCGGAACAAGTTTTTGGACGAGCTGATTACTACTGCGAAATGCATTGAACGGGCAGACGTGTCATCAAATGTTGCGCAACGAACTTCGTGAGCCTCATGTGCACATCATCGGCACATGGTTGGCTTTCGGCTCACCATCAGCTATTTCCTTTGATTAAATCCATGCGCAACACAGCAATGAGGCATTACAAGGCTAAAGACACGGATAATTCTCGCTCAAAAATGTGGTCATCAAAGACTGATACTCGCCGCGCAGATGGTGTACCAATTGGTGTGTATCAACACATCTGAGTGAGCTATGGCCCTGCTAAAACACTCTGCTCTATCGTAAGCAAGTTTACATGTGTAGTCTTCCGTTTGAATCTGAGCGTCCGAGTTCCCCATTTCTTTTGCGCGTCATCCAGCTCGAAAATATTCTCCCAAGGCTCGCCAATATCAACTTCATCCTTGAACAGCTTCATCCAATCGCCGCCTACTTCCACTGTACTGCTGACGACATCAATGCCTGCTTTCTCGGCGATCTTTCTGATATCTTCGGCAGCTTGCTCCGCACTTTCGTATTCGCCCTTCCAGGCTTTGAGCAATACACTTCCAAGCCTAGCCTCTTCTAGCACTTGGAGCTGGTCGCGCCAATCTGCCGCTTCTTCTGTTGGGCGCCCTTCAGGTGAGTAGAACGGACTCCAGTCTATGTCCCTTTTCCAGGGCGCTTCGGCTGTGAAACCGTTAGTCATGAGCTCCCAGACAAAGCTAGCCCAGTAAAACCTTATCACAATACGATGGTCAGCGAAACGTTGCATTCCAAGTACGACTGGACCAAAATTGGCAGTTACTCACAAAGCTTTGCGATGATATACACCTTCTCGAGGATACTTGATGTTGAAATAATCATCGTAGAACAAAGCGTTACCATCCCCCGCCCATTCTCCTTGACTCCAAGATTCGGAGAACCCCTCTGGAATCTCTTCGCTATCTTCATTACTCTCTTCATCAGAGGGCTCTGGCTCTTGTGTCATACCAGCAACGAATGCCTGATGATCTCGCTCCTGTCTCTCATCTCGCTTCGACTGCTTCCAAGCGTCTCTCAGTGCATCGGCATCGAGCTCGGGTCCTTCGAGGCTGATGAAACCTGTAATAGCAAGCGAAAAGTCGGATCGTAGCCATACATTTCTAGACGAGAAGAATGTCAGATACACAGAGCGAGAGTGGAAAAAGCTGAGGGCAGACAGTGCTTGCAAGGCCCAACGATAGTACAAGGCCAGCATGATCTTATCCTCTCCGGAAGGCGTCTCTTGTACAGGTGTAGTCATGACGGGGAGATCACCCCAGTGTGGCCCTGGATTGAGTCTCTCAACAATCACCCCATTACCGGCATCGCTATCTAAAAGGCTGATACACCTATCATTACATCAGCGATAACACCACACTGGATCTACGCTGCACCCACCGCACTATCCTTGGATGACCTTCTCCGAGAAGCTCATAAGCCTTTCGCAACCGTTTGCTCACCCATTCTGGTCTGGCCCTTGGATCGGGTATATCTGTCTCTTTCGGTTCGTATATGATGATATTGTTCCCGTCCTTGTGCGGAACGGCGTAAGCTTTCTCCCAAAAGTCACAGTACCAGGTCTCTGTATCATCCGGCGCTGTGCTTGCTTCACTTGGTGTCGGTACTCCGTAGACGTTGTTTGGCGGCGTCGTGTACTGGGTAACCGGGCGCTGTGGCGGCGGCCCAACAAGATAAGTGAGCACCGACTCAACGCATACGATAATTGTTTCCATTTGGAAAGCTAAAGGACTGCTGCTAGTGATTCGGAAGCGCGATGCGCTGGACGATATATACATGCGAGACAACGGTCCCCATTAGGGTAAGCGCAAACCATGCCTTGCGGATCGTGCCAATGGTGCCTGCTTGGCAAACCACGTTCAGCAAAGGCCCTAAGGCACCAACACAATTAACTGAAATGAGATACCTACAACCCATACTGAAGCTCTGGGTCACTGCGCGATTTCCAAAAGTATTCCGCGCTATTTCCCATCCACCCTTCCACCCAAAACTCTATAGAGACAACGGGTACGCCAGTATCCTGATCAGGGCCATGTTCGAAAAAGTGTTCAAAGAATATCTTGGTACCTTCTGGCACCTCATCTACGTTGTCTTCACAGCCAACGCCTATTGAGCACCGTCCATCTTCACCGCGCTGAAACGAGGCGTTATACATCCAAACCATGCCTTCGCGGATCTTATCCCCAATGAAAGGATTGGCAGCCCATGCATGGACTTGGGCGACCACGTCGCGGACGAGTACAGGGCTACCGTCAGCGGTTTCGACGACGAAGTAGTCCCACGAGTCTTCTAGCCTCTCGACACCTTCTGGCTGTCCTTCGAAACCGTCGTTCCATTCGCCCTCATTACAAGCGAGACATTCTGCTGTTACGAAGATTTTAGAGGCGTTTGTAACGGTTGCTGGTTCGAGGGCGACGGGGTGGTTGGTAAAAGAGGCTCTGGAACTTGAAGACGTATTGTTCTCTTTGTCGGCGACGCGAATGTTTGATATGCCTTCTTTGTCTAGGATAGGCCAGTAGAGGAGTTCGAATGCGCTGGTATTCATCACGGCGATATCTTCGCCTGAGGTGAGATTCGGAAGAGACATTGTGGGTGATGTAGAATTGATTGTGAGCATGCAAGAAAGCGGCGAGAAGTAACAAGGTCAACTATACACATCGCGCACACTGGATCTTTATGAGAATCGTGAGAAGAGTCATGCCATCTAGGGGTTGCTGGTGCCTGAGGTTTGTATAGAGAAGGCCCACATTTGCAGGCTGCAACAGGGGCTAGATGCACGAGCATTTATCCGCTAACTAATCGAGGTAAGGCGTATAATTAGTATTGCTTATAGCAAGGCATACGTATATAGACTTCGAGGCAATGGAAAAAAGTCGCTGTCTACCCACAGGCTGTTCATCGCGTTACAGTAAGAAAAGAGATATCGGCCTGACTTCACCGTCCAAGTATCATCTCGCCGGCCCCTCCAGAGTGTTCCGTCGACTAGGCATCCTCGGATCCCTCTTCCCCATCGTAACCTCTAGCGCCTGCACCAAAGCCGTCCCATCATACCTCACAAAATTCTCCCCTTCGTGTTTCTTCCCATACACCCTTATCGGCTCGATGCCAATACTCTTAAGCTCATCTCGGTCCACCGCCGGAGTCCCCGGCCCCTGTAGATGGATGATGTGTGTCACGTACTTCTTATACTGGCTCTTATCCAGAGGACTAAACACATTCTTCGACTCTTCACATGCCTTTGCGATGGCGGCTATAAAATCAAGCGCGGAGTATGGGTCGGACGACGGCCCCGTCTCGCGATCAATTGTCGAGTTTAGAATCAGGATCTTATAGCGGATAGCTGGGTTGCCAACAGCCTCTCCAATTCCTTTGAGTACCAAAGAAGGAATGATGGACGTGTATAGCGAGCCGATGCTGTATATAACAGCCTGAGCATCATTCAGCGCACTCAGCACCGTTGGATTGGCCGAGAGCCGGATTTCCTGGCCGTAGGGGTTGATGTACCACAGCCTTTCTATTCTTGCTGATAGCTCCTCTTCGTCGGCTTTGGAAAAGGTGATGTATTGTTTCCGGAGGGTGGGGAGCGAGCCGGGGAGATTGGCGTCTTCGATTCGATCGTGCTGTTCTGTTTCGTCAATGGCTGGGGCGTCTGAGCCGGGCACTAGGGCGGTTGAGATGGAGGGGTGGGAGATGGAGTTTTGGCCGGTGATGGTGTCGCCGTTTGCGAGGCTCACGGAGATGTGGTGGGTGAAATTGGTGTTTATTGCGGGGAGAACGGAAGTGTGGCTGGGAACGGAACATATGCTGGAGAGGAGGTAAATGGCAGATTCGAAGGAGCCGGTGAACAGGCGAGCGCTAGAAACGTTAATTTTCGACGGTTTCAATGATAATAAGAAGGTAGAGGGGAGTCTGCGATAGCCAGAGCGAGAAACACAACATGGGATTGCGAGACAGTGTATGAATAGAAGAACACACAAAGCTTCAGATGAGCGACTGTACATACCCAGTGAGAAATAGATTACCGATGCTTGCACCTGAAAAGTCAAAATTTGATGAAGGTCGACGACGCTTGACGATTTCGTATGCGACAACGTTCAGTATCGACCGTACTAGCTCTTTCTTCGCGGTTGAAATATTCGTCCAGAGTGCATGTTCAGCCTCTACAATCTGTAACCACTCTTCTCTTGCCGAGGAACGTTCTTTGGGTAATCTATGGTTGAAGAAGGTCTTGATGGCTGCTTTCTCGCTATCATCATGATCGGGGTCATCCGGGATTAGACGGACGAGACGACCTAGGCGGATTAGTATAGATCGACAAACTTTATTCGGTATGCGCGTACTCCTTACATCACCGATACCTGCCACTGTTAGTGTTGTGCTACTCTTGCACCAAACGTTGCGTACCTGGCCCTCCGAAAACGCGTATCAGCTCAGACGAGCTTCCGCCGTTATCACTGATAGGAATGACGTAGCTCAGCGGGCACCTTTTGTCTTCTCTTACTTTCTTGAACACATCGACTAGATTGTTGGCTGCGCTGCCGCCGGAGAAAACAACAATGCCTTTGGCTCTGAGGGTGCCGTTCGTCGTTAAAGAGACCGGGGTTGAGTTGTGGCCATGAGGCCAAAGGAAGTTCTCGGTAGACATGACAAGATACGTGGAGCAAGTTTTGACCACATGGGTCTTTGGGGCGGTCTTATCAAGTCATATTGATGTTGACAGAGTGTTCGTTAACATGGATGTTCTTTCACAAGCTCAGAATAGCAGAGGCAAGAGTCATGCACTAATCCGTTAGGGTAGTGTAGCGCGTTACTCGACTAGGCAATATCTCGCATTCAAGGCACGTTTTGACATTGGCTGAGCGATTATGTTTTTGCATTTGTGGTTGATTTTCAAATGGGATATGTACAAATCGAGTCACCAGCCAAGATTTGGTGGAAAGCTGCTCTGCGCGCAGATGCAGCCCCCACGGATATGGCACCCCCAAACTTAGCCCATCATGAAGACTGAATGCAGCGTATGATATCTCAGGTCCCGGCATAATTGCGATGACGCTCTAGACGTGTATACCGCTGCCAGCTCCCAGCTTTATCTACCCCTCACACACCCGCGTCATGCCATTGCAGGTGACAGCACCTTAGGAGGTACCGGTAGCCTCCTCACGCTCCTTCCTTCGCTGTCTCTTCTCGAGTAGGGCGTCTCGTCGGTCGGCCAGGAGTCGGAATTGCCGTTGCTCAACACCAGTGAGCCAGTAGCCGAAACTGCCACCGGCGCCGGCGTAGATGGGGTAGACCCAGAGAGACTCCTTGTTGAAGAGGGGGCGCATCTCAATGCCCAGCTGCCATAGCCTCGCGGCAACACCTGGTAAAGGTTGTCAGCAGAGTCCTTGGTGGGCACGCGCAGGCGGTTGGGGACGTACCGAGCCCGCTCCAGAAGAGGACCTTGTGGACCATGGTGAATTGGGGTGATGGTGATAGTTGTGTTGGTATGAGAAAGTCGTCGCGTGCAGCAGCAGCAGCAATTGGGACGGATGTCGTGGAGGCGCGTTGTCACCGCTGTACTGGGATTATGGCTTGCGATGCTCCATTGTCAAGCTCGGAAATGCCAAGAACGAACCACCCACGCGGATGCGGAAGTAACGTCCGCCGACCTCACCTCCGCAACAATGCCGATTTCGCGACTCTCCTGATATTGCCTCTCACTTTTTCACTTCTCGTCCTACCATTCGTTCCTTGTAACCATTTTCGGCTGGGGCAGCAGCCTGGCGCCTCTACGTCATTCGCTGCTCGTCAGCCTCTCCCACCCCCGACATCCTGCGCCTGGCCGCGACACAAACGACACCAAAACGGCTGATCGCAACCACGACTAATCATCCATGGCGGAAGTCAGCCGCAAGCGCGCACCAGAGAGCGATGGCGCTGCGACTATGCGCAAGAAATTGAGGCCCTCGGAGCTCCCGCTTTCGCAGGCGAAACGATCAGCTATCGACAGCCTCGTGCACATGTTTCGCAAGAAGGGCGCATACGACGATATACGCAGAGACCTGATGAAGCAATACGTGTCAGGGGTGAGTGGCAAGATGTTTGTTATCCTAACACCGCAGGCTGACAATCACACTCTAGCCTGCTAAGGATGAACTGCAAGCCGCGCTCAAGGAGCTCGTCGATCGCGAAACTGACCGCAATCCCTCTCTGCTGTCCAAAGATCCCCGAATGGCAACCACGCTTATAGAAGGCGCTGGTGAGCGCAGCGACATCTACGGCAACATTATGAACACAGTCAACACTTTGTTGGATAAATTGATCGACGAGCATGGGGTGCCAAAAATGCGCGAGTACCGCATTCAGGAGATTGGAGCTGAAGCAGCCGCCGAGGAGGAACAGCGAGGTAGCAAGAGCGAAGAAGAGTGGGCTCAAGAGGCAGAAGCTCGCAGAGAGAAGCGAGAGGCCAAGCGGGAGAAGGAGCTGGAGGCAGAGCGCGAGAGAGAGCGCGAGGAGAAGGCAAAGAGGGAAGAACGCAAGCGCCGCGAGAAGGAAGAAGACGAAGCCCGTGAGAGAGAACGACAAGCGGAGAAGGAGCGGAGACGCAAGGAGCGGGAAGAGCGCGACAAGGAAGACGAGGAGCGTCGTCGCAAAGACCGAGAGAGGATTGACAAAGAGAGAGAAGAAGAGCGCCTGCGCCTCAAAAAGGAGCGAGAGGAGCACGAGAAGAGCCGAGAAGCCCGTCTCAAGAAGATCCGCGAAGAAGACGCCGAGCGAGAGCGTCGCATACAAGAGGAGCTTGACCGAGATCGAGGTGGGCGCCATCGTGGAGGCCGTGGCCGTAGCAGGACTCCCGAGCGCGATAGGGATCGTCGTGGACGAGACAGGAGCAGGCGAAGGAGCAGGACAAGAAGCAGATCACCCGAACGCCGTTCATCTATCAAGCCTGAAAACATCAAAGACATCAAGGTGGACGACGACTTGGCATTGCAACTTCTACTACAGGAGAGCGAACAAATGAAGAAATCACGACAGCGACCTGTCCTTGAGCGGTCCGAATCTCTGGAACCTCCTATGCGGAAGGCGCAGCCTCCCAAGTCGATTGTTCCTCGTGATCCTCGACTGGCCAGGCTCGACAGCAAACCCGCCTCACCCTCGCAACAGTCACCGAGCAAAGACGCCAAATCTCCTGCTCCATGTACGCCAGCCAAGGGCGAAGATGTCACCATGACAGACGCCCCATCAGCAGCGGAATCAGCCAAGGCCAGATGGGACAAACCACCCGAGCTGCCCTCGAAGCGAGGTCGTTCAAGATCCCGTAGCATCGCACGCAGCACCAGAAAGCGCAGCAGAACACGCTCGCACTCGCGCGGCAGCCGCCTCGACAGAGACCGACGTTCTTCCCGCTACGAAGACGACCGCCGTTCCCGCCGCGACGACGACAGACACTCCTACCGTCCGTCCCGCCGCGACGACCGAGACGACAAACTCTCGCGTCGCGACAGTCGGAGCCGCTCACGCGAAACCCACACCTCACGTCGTAAATCACGCTACGGAACACGCAGTCCCTCGCCGGCTCGCGACGAGCGGCGGAGAGACCGCGAACGTTCCCGTTCGAGGGGTGCAAGACGGGAGCGCTCCAGGAGCCCTGTACCTGCGCGCCGCCGCAATCGCTCGCGTTCCAGGAGTCCGGAGAATATCGATCGTTATGTCCCTGGGGGTGGGGGTGCTGCGGGCGGTAGTGCAAGGAAGCCACGCGACGATAGTCGGGACCGTGAGCGTGACCGCAAGCGCGATGACAGTCGTCCTCCTCCACGTAAAAGAGACGATAGTCGGGACCGCGGTGGACGTGGGTATCGGGCGAGGGACTACGATCGCTGGGATGGAGGGAGGGATAGGGATAGGGATAGGGATAGGGGCAGTAGGAGACTGGAGAGTGATTGCTACCAACCTGGTGATGGTGCTTCTGCTTCTGGTGCTGATGCTGAGGACAAGGAGCGAGATCGCGATCGTAAGCCTAGAGAGAGGAGCCGCGAAAGGAGTAGGGAGAGGAGTAGGGATAGGGGGCGTGATGATAGAGACAGGCGTAGACGGAGGAGTCGCTCGAGGAGTCGTAGTCGGGATCGACGGCGTTGATGCAGCTGTGGGGTTCCCTTCTTAGATGTATGATTATTGGTAGGCGTTTAATGCAATGCATGATAGGCAGTGGACGGGTCAAGTGCGCCTTGTTGGTGAGGCTATTGTTAGGATGCATGTGGCTTGCTTGTCGCTCTTCCTCTTTTGGACATGACACCCTTGTAGAGTCAAGAAGAAGCAGTAGCAAGGAAGGCAGCTTTTGAAAAATCTCATTCCAGTATTCCTATCAAGCAATTTTTCTCCCTTTTCCTTTCTCAATCTTGTCCGCACCCCTGCTTTGCTGCTTTGTCTGGGTTCTCGGCTACGATGGTGGTTGCCGCCGTCGTCAATGCCTGGCAGCATGACATCCTCAGCCGCACGTTCAGCCTCCACAAATGCAGAAGCATTACCCCGCTGGATGTGTGTTCACTTCTTAGTCTTCTTGCAGTAATTTATTAAATATCAGCTGGGCAAGATCGCGCTGTGAGCTGCGATTCTCGTACCTACTTTTCATCTTGTTACAAACATACAGTCGCATCGTCAACATAGTCATGGATTACATATATGACCGTTGGTTGGATCGAGTGGAAGGATACGACGTACATGCAATCGCTCGATCTCCCGCCGAACAAATCCGCATCGATACCTCTGCCGCCCTGCCTCGAAATGTTAGTCTTATGCTCGAGCTCGATTTACAAGGGATTAAGCCTCCAAAGCTTCTCCCGCTGTCAGAGGTTCCGCCGGCTACGTTACAGACACAGATGCCAGAAACTGCGCAAATCTTCCTTTGCTCGTCACACAAAGACGCACGTTTCATTTTCGAACTCCGGCAGATCGAGTCTTCGGTAAGATATGTCGAAAGAGTAAATCACCAAAGAAACGGTCTCGAAAGATACGCCTTCCAATCCAACAACACATCAAGCGCCGACGAAGACCTGCTTATGCCATATGATCCGCGATGCCTCCTTGGTTGGCTTTCTATACAGCCTGGCCAGGTTCACAAGGTGCTCTTATCCGAATATGCTATGATACCATCAGAAAGGCGCATGAATCAGCTTGTCGTGCGCAGTCAAATACATATAATCCGAGGTGCCGGGAACCACTATACGGCTGTTTGGTTCGATTTCCGAGATCAGTACGACGTCAGCAGCGTATACAAGTTCAACGTACCTGGTGAAGAAATGTTCGGTGTACCTGACGAAGAAAAGGTCGGCGTACCTGACAATTCTGTCCCAGCCTCGATTTGGCAGCGGCGATTTGCTTGTCGATTCTTGGAAAGGCTCAATGAGCCTATACGCCATGCCATGGATTTTCCGAGTTTCTTATTGCTGAAACTTCTGAAAACTGATATCACGATATTCGAGAAGTTCATTCTGCTAGAACAGGAACTGCTACCTGTAGATACCCTTGCTCCTGTCGTTACGAAACACCTTGACAACCGCCTTGCCGGTCTCGAATTCACCCAATCGATTATACGAAAGGCTGAGGAGATGCATAGATTCGTTACTCATATGAGTGATCCTCGGGTTCTGGACCTTATCGCGAAGGAGTTTCGTGCAAACTACCAGAAAACCCTTTATCGACTCGAGATAGGAAGCTCGCTCCTGGTATCGCAGTTCAAGCATCTAGAGGAAGTGGCTGACAAACGCCTGGATGTATACAATCGGTTCGCGCAACAACGACAAGCTTTAAGTCTATCAGCCTTGACTTACTGTGCCGCATTTTTCCTGCCACTCTCGCTTGCTGGCACATTTCTCAGTATGAAAAGTCGAGCTATCGACTTACATCTGATAGTGTATGACTTTTGTGGCATCACCTCAGTATTTTGCACTCTCGCTGCATTTATCTACTTTCTTTCTTGGGCATGGTCTCACGTAAAGACAATTCATCTCAACCGACGTTTGAAGAAAGGCAAGACTCGGGTACCCCCATTAGGAGGATCATTGTCCACGCAGGTTATATGTGGTGTTGCATGGATATCAATGGTGTGCTCGTTTCTGGTTGGTATGCTGCACAATCTCCGATTGGGTCTGATCATGCTTTCTGTACCAGCCGCTCTCATTGGCCTGACAACAATCTATTTCTTTGGCCTTGGGTTATACTGGGGTTACCACGTGATGAAAGCAACTTTTGATGAGTATGCAAAGCGTGGAATGAACCTAATGAGGTACTCAAGGGAGAGATCAAGGCTGAGAACAAGCAGCGCCAACGAACCAAGTGTGGCATAGAACCCGGGTAAAGCTTTCGGTATGGAGATAAATGATGACCGCTATACGGAACCAATATATGTTATTATGAATGATCCTATATTGTTCCAATGCTACATGTACGCACCGTGTTCCTCGTCGTTTTTGGCTCTACTCCTTTTTGCCTTCCACCCTCCTCGCCTGAATCCGATTTCTCATTCCCAACATCTCATTCTGCACCCGAATCGCCATGGTCAACTGATATATCATTATACTGAGGATCACAAAGGCGATAGCAAGGAGAAAGAGAACGAATGTAAGGGTGCTGATGAGAGACTGAGTTTCCGCTGGGAGAACAATGCGCTGGTCGAAGGACACCATGATATCTACCGCAATCAGTCTCGAGCCTTTTAGGGCCTAGAAAACTGAAAATAGAGAAGGCTTACTGGTGGCGTTGTGGTGAAAAAGGTTGATCTTGCAGCCAATCGAGACGATCTATGGAGTAGGCCCAGAAATCCTTGCCGAGACCGTAACACGGACGTGTGAAAGCAATGATAGATTCCGTAGTTCCTATTGTAAGAGAACTCACACTGTTGTCTCACTACGCGTGTGCTGGCAAGACAGTGTCTCTCTGGTTTAGGCAGGTGGGGTAATATCATCCCCGCTTCCTAGGTGTACAGCGCGCCACTCGTCACTCCAGTCAAGCAGAAGTCTAATGTGGCATAAATTCAACGATGAACAATCTGGTGGGTGAGGACATACTAACTGCACATGTTTCCTATGTCAAGTATCCTATCCAATTCGCCGCTGACCATTTCTTGCCATCAATAGCACGCATAGAGAATATGCTTCGAAGATGAAATGCTTTGCAAAGCGAATATGTTGCAAAATGTACTTGGTCGCTTTGGTATGGGTACAAGTAGTGAATCACGTGATGAATATTATCCGTGCCTTCTACTATGGACGGCTCACATCGATGCCGGAATGTTCACGAACCGGTCGAAGGTTCTTCAATCAACGCTCAATGTTGCCTACATCCATTCACACCTCATCACAATCATGAAAGGCGGACTTTCACAAGTCTAGCCATTCATGGGTCAACTCAGAAACGCACAAGACCGTGACGTCATACTCAACATAGTGCCAAATTTACGACTACACAAGTAGGCGCACGCGACCAAGAACAACGCGAAGCTCCTAATGGATACATTGCATCTGTGAGGGCGGGACATCCATGGAGTTTGCCTATCGACATCTAGAACTGTTGCTAGTACGTCCAATGGATCCTTAGCCTCAAAGCTAGCAACGCAGGCTTATGCACACAGCCTCTGCACACAGCCTTAGATGTGAGGCTGTGCTCTGTCTACGATGTCGATACATAATGCTTTGGCTCTTCTCTGTAGGTAGATGAGAGGTTCTGAAAATCCTTGCCTAATTAGCTCGAGTCGCTGAGCCTTTCTTTACTTATACTATGATTGGAGACCCAGAGTTCGTCATTCTCAAATATCAGTCATGGCTCGATACCGCGAAATTCGAGAACAAGATTTTTGGGTCGATTGTTAAGGAGTATCTGAGACCGACGAACAACTATGTACCTGGTATGCACCCAGCGGTGAAGAGTACTGTTGGATGACGTACATGTTGAGCGTGTCTACACAACACTTTCTGACTGACAGTAGATTCGCCCCTACAATACAACTCGCACGACTTCCAGGAAGGAACGGTGACCGACTTTGTGCTCGCTAACACTGGAGCGAAAAGTCACGAAGGGAACGCGACTCTCGAATCCGTCGCTGGCTTATCATTCAAAGGCAGCACCGAAAGTAGCGTGGAGCTAAACGGCAAGCTCATTCGATACAAGCGGCTGCAGCAACATGACCAGTTTTGGAGCAAGCTCAAAGCTGATCGAGATGTCAAAGCGATCGTTCCTCGGTGGACGTCGCGTTATCGCGCGCCAGTGTGTCTTGTGGTAGGCATCATGATCTGCGAAGAGGTGGAACTCTTATTCGACGAGAAGCAAGCGCAGGAACGCGAGGTCAAGGGACAACTGCCTATCGGAAAAATCACCCTCGCGGCAGGTGTGCCAAATCCTACCGGCAGTACAGGAGATCCGCAGATTGGGTTCAACACGAATCGCCAAGTTGTTAACATGTTCAAGGGTGAGATCAACGAGAGTCGCATATTTGCCCTAGAGCTCAAGAAGATTACGACTGTGGGATGGATTCAGAAGGATCTAAAACTGAGGAGCCAGGGCCCTGATGTAGATTCTACAAGACTCGCTGCTGGAGAGTCGGATGAAGAGGACGAGGATGACGAGCGACTGAAGATTGAGGAGTTTGTTCTTGGCGAACTCAGTGCTGAAGATTATGGTAAGCTTTGAGGCTGAAAGGCGGAGTTGTTCAATCGTATATATATCTCAGTTGTAAATTCAGGCTTCTGGCTTCACCTGTATACTACATACTGCCCTGGGAACATAAGCTCGGAGGGCGGCTTTAAGTCGTGCTTTGATCTCCTCCTCCCGGTTTTCGTCTCCTGTAAAGTGATATCCTGGACTCACCCAGTCATAGCCATCTCTTTTGTGAGCTATTACTTCGAAGATCTTACGCATGCCTACTGGAGAGCAAGGTTTGATGTTCCAGCGGTGTTCTGGCAGATTTTTTCGAATGTAGTTAATCACGAATACGGCGACGGACACGGCCACTGGCGTTGCGATCGACGTGCCAGAAAGGTACTTCTGACCCGGCTCCTGGTTGTCGAAATCTTGTCTAGCCGTTGGCCAACAAGATTTAACGCAATCTCCAACGAAGCTGAAGTTATGTCCCAAGTCAACGGGCGAGGGGTTAAAGGATGAAGAGTTGCCTGAACCAGTAGCAGAGTGGATGCAGAGAACGCCGTCGTAGTCGCCAGGGTATGTACGTGGTTTGTTTCCAGCATCATTCGAAGCCGATGCAAAGACTATGATATCAGCCTTAATACAAGCGTCAATTGCTTCCTGCATTAAATCCGGATTACTAGAAATGCGGAAACCAAGGGAGAGTGAGATCATGTCCACTTTCCATGTCTTGCGCGCATGTTCAAGTGCCTGGATAATGGGACGTCTATCTTCACTTTCGCGGGATTCGATGACTTTCCCAATATAGAGATCGACGTTTGTTGTAAGATCAAGGATGATACCGGCTATATGAGTGCCATGACCGGAACGATCTACCATCGCATCATCGTCAATGAAAGACTTGTGATCACAGACGTTGCCTCTAATGTCGGGATTGGTGATATCTGCTCCAGTATCCAGTATCGCAACTTTGATCCTTGACTCAGACTGAAGGCTTGTTTTCTTCATCCGCAGCTTTTTGAATTCTCTATTCCATTCCCTGGCGGACTGACAGAGCTCTTTCGGGTATTCTTGGGCATTCGTTTTTCCGAAGAGCTCACAATGATCTGCTGTGGTTGGACTGTCCACCAGAGCGTCTGAGATTGTGTTGACTATTCCTTCTCCATTATCGTTTTGCTCATCAAATCTGACCTGCTTTTTCGTGCTGGTCTGCAGCTCTTTCTGGATAACTATATCGCTGATCACAGGTGATACAACTGTTGCCGGTGAGAAGACACGCGAGCCATTAGATATGCTGAGTCGATCTGGTTGGGATAACACCGAAGGACAATGAGAGTAACTTGTAGCTGGCCGCTCAAGGCCTCGATCCAGTGTCCTTCTCGCATCTAGTTTCTTGCCGACAGCCTTCTGGATCTGTTGCACAATACTGTGTATGATGTTTCTCGTCGCAGCCGCTTGCCCGCCTTGATGCCCCTGGGCGGACATACGTTTGTATTCTCTCGTGCAATTGAGTTGGAACCTGAAGCACATCTGAACCGCTTTCAGATACGATCGTTTCGATTCGCTCAAGTCTGCTAAGCGTTGATCGTAGATGTAATCCCCGAAATTGTCGGCGCCGTCATTGTTCATGTGCAAGTACTCAAGCGAGGCGCCACATTCGATTTCCATCAGAAGTCTAGCAAGGAAAGCGAACCTTGATTCGCATTCATTCTTGTCATTAGCACTAGATTCTGTGGTCTCAATTGGTAGAGCCGAACATCGGGCGTAAGGTAGATCGTGTATGTATCTCCCATCCGAGTTTGAGAGGAAATAGATAGAGTCTGGATCCCAGAACTTGATCAAGTGAGCATCTCCAAGAGTGATCAAAGAGCCTAGGACAAGTGTAGAAGCTAGGGTGCGTTTCTCTGTCTGTTCGAACTTTTGCAACCACGGCCGCCAGGGATCTGGGCCTGAGAAAGCACCTCTTTCAAGCAATTCCTTCAAGGTTCTCGACGGCTTCCCCTTTGTTGAAGCTGTAGAATTCAGGTCTCCATATGGGTCTCCATCTGGTTTAGCATAGACATAGAGGTTGCTCTGGGAAGTTGCAAGAGTGAGTCGGTCGCGATTTTCGAGATCTTTGATCTCGTCACAGAAGCTTTCAGCTGGATACCAGTCAACGTGATTCCTGCTCTCTTCATGTTAGACTTGATCTCGCCTCTCAGCTGCTTATGTTCGTAAACTGGAGTGCACATACCGATCAGCTAGTTCATGCAAATGGCTCTCACGCCATTCCGATGATGTGCAGCTAGTGAGATATAGATCCAGATGTTGTTCTCGAAAACGCTCGCAAGATGTAGGTTTATCCCATTCTGGTAGCTGAAGTAGAGCTTCGTGACATCCACTACAACCTGTATTCCTAATGTTGACAAGCCAGCTTAACAGTGTTTGCAAAGTGTTGATGCCCTTCTGCAGATGACTACGCGATCCACGAGGTTGCTCAACTTCTACTTGCTGTGTACTAGAACCCTCAAAGTCCCATGTCTCTGGTTGTGTGAGCCGGCTACAGAAGGTGTTGAAACTGTCTATCTGTTCCTTTATAACTTTGGGATCCGTGGTCACGAACAGCTTTCGTTCGCGGGAACCGGATGCCATGTGGAACCGCCATTCAGTGCTGCGCAACTCTTGTAACAGTCGATCGATTCTGGGATATTTGCTGCCGCTCTCAGATGGTGGTTCGGTCCATAGATTGGTGTCAACGATGCTCTCGAGAACCAGACATATCGAAGTTAGAGATGCGAAGACTTGATCTTGAGCGTCGTCATCGAGGCCGTTGTCGAACAGCGTGTCCAAGTCGTTCCTCCTCATCAAATTTCGTAACCCGTCTTCCAGAAGCAAAGCATTATTCTGGGCACCAATGTTTCCTGATAACGACTGCGACTTGTCAAGCTTCTGATAATTGGTTGTGTTCTGCAACCGATCCTTGTGAGATCTGAGCGATTTCAGGCGCCACCACTCCTCACTAAGGGAAATCTTTTGCGCAGCGCGCATGTTGCGACGTCAAATTCGATTTCATCAGTAACTTCGGATGGTTATCGAGTGCTGTTACCCATTCGCGCCCTATCTTGATGGATGCTGATGGGATCAAGCTGTGGCAACCGTCGGACTTCCAAGATCAGGAGCGGGGTTGGAGCTTTCAGCCGCACTTTAGACCCCCAACCAGGGGCCTCGGCCCTCACCTGCGTACACATCGCATGGCTTGACCAAGTCCTGACTCCTCATTTTGTCGCCTGCACTCACGTATCACTGATTGACGGTTATCTCAGCGTCATGGCCACCAGCAGGTCGGGTCTAGACGGCGACATCGACAGCAGCCTCGATGATGAGGCCGATGAGCAACCCATACGTCTCATGGCCGAAGATTGCGATGAAATGTTTCACGATTGCCTGGCACGCTCGGTCGTTTCTAAAGAGCATCCACTGCCTTTGGATGTTTTGTATATGATGGGAGAATACCAGCAACGCTTCAACGGGTGGTGCACATTCCTTGGTGTCTTTGCCAACGAGATCACTAACTTAGACTACCGGTTGCGAAACCATGAAGCTCTCCAGGATATGGTGATCAGAATGTTGGATATGTTGAGGCAAAACCTGTTTCTAGGTAAAAGACCTAGTACTTTGAGTCGTGAGCGCAGCTGATAGCACAAGTCACGATCTACAATCTACCAAGCGGGAAAGAAGAGCCAACCAACCCGATGCCACCGCCAACTGTTCACGAGGCTCTTACCGGAGTCAAGGAGGCTATTTCGCGGCTGAATAAGATTGGTGTTCTTATCAGATCCTCTTCCAAGTCTACCATCACGGCACGAGCTCGCAGGTTTGCATCACAATATCCGAAACTTGTACGACTAGCTGAGTTCGAGGACCGGTCACATATTGCACTTCAGTTTCTCTACCCGAACGCATCACGGACGTTAAGAGAGCAGCTTGTCGACTCGATGGGCGACAGATATGCGAAGCTCCGTTATGAGGCTCTTCGGTTTAAAGCAAACTACACTTCTGGAGCGTCTGCTCGAGATGTCCAAATCGCTATACAAAGAGATGGTACAGAAAATGCGCCTGGTAAAGTTCCAGACAGTCAAGTATGGCACCCTTCCAATGAGGAAGGTGACGAGGCCCAGGAAAAGAACCAAACGGCTCATATCGTGATCCCAACTTCGTCGATCGATACCGCAGGTTTGCCCCTGAACTTAGAGGAAGCAGTAAGTAAAAGCGTCCGCCACTCAAGGACTGGCAAGACTTTGATCGAGAACAATGGCCGTCTGAGAGAACCAGATCTGCCCAGCTTCCAAGAAGGCGAGAACATCACATCATGTGTATGGTGTCATCAGGTTGTGGATCGCTCCGTATTACATGCGACTCGGAAAAAGTGGTCAGAGGAAGGAAGACGCCATTATATGCGCGATCTGCAGCCATACATCTGCTTATCGGAAGACTGTCGTGAATCTCGGCCATCGTTCGCCTCCTCATTTGAGTGGTTCAATCATATGAGGTCGGATCACTCAGACTCCTGGTCATCAAGAATGCATAATCAGCCGGCCTGGATGTGCATTGCAAAACATGAAAATGACACTATCTACAGTTTTTCTCTCAAGGACGAACTGCTTAACCATATCCGTGTTCATCAATGCAAGGCTTGGGTGTGCACTGGCATACACGAAAACGACTCAACTTTCGCTTTCTCTTCCAGAAATGCATTGGTCCACCATATCCTCCATGATCAGTGCAACGGCAAGGATTTTTCAAATAGTGGCGATCTTGAACATCCTGAGTGTCTGGTTCAGATTGTGCGGAAGGCGTCTTCATGTCCGCTTTGCCTATTCTCGATGGAGGACCAATCTTCGAATAATCGAAACGCGTCACACGATGATGGGGAAGAGGGCACAGTGACCTCACAGGCAATGGCATCGCACATCGCTGACCACCTCCACCACGTGATGACCGTTTCTCTTCAAATTGTGTCAATCATGCAGGGTTCGCACGATGGATACGAAGGCGATGTTCAAAGCCAGTCGAGTAGGCCAAGCACTACACTCTCGGATCTCGATGACGAAGCAATGAGAAAGCGGTTCGACGACTTACCTGAAAGTGTTCAGGGATCTATGGATTGGCCTGACATTAGTGAGGTATCTTGGAAATCAGGTTCTGATGGGGCGCCGCTCGACGACTTACCTGGACATAGGGACGGGTCCTCCGAGCTTCGTGAACAGGATTTTGAGTCCTCGAGATTCGACACAGAGTATAGGATGACACCAGCAGTCGACGCGTCTAATCAACTTGACGTTTTCTTCGCTAATTCTTCTCTGAGACAAGAACGGTACACTGAACTTGAGATCCAACAAGTCTCCTTACTATTGCAACGATTTAATCCGTCATGGAGCACACTTCCAAGAATATACGTGATCCTTCGGGCTATCGACTGTCTGGGCTCACTTGACACTTTCATCGACCTGGGCATCTCCGATTATTGGTTTCCCTTCACTGAGCGAGACGTCCCGTCATGCATCCCCCCTCGCAAGCGTTTACAGTATGTGGCCGCGCAGGATCTAGTGAGGACTGACCCGAGAAACTTTGAGTGCGGCCTGCATTCCTTCTTCCGGACTGGCGATCTTACTCCGCTCGAGATAAGAGGACGCATCAATTCTGGAGGCACTAGGTGGGTCTGCCGGGTTCTTAGCTCGAGAAGTGGCAAAGAGTATGTAATGAAACGAGCAGACCGGTTTTTCAGAGATTCTTCCTGGAAAGAATTAATTGACCAAATCAGTATCATGAAGGATCTACGACACCGCCACGTAGTGAAAACCGTTGGGAGCTACAGTGATCCAGAATTCATAGGACATATCATGTCTCCCGTTGCTGACATGGACCTGGCTGCCTACCTAGCGAAGGCCGACGAAATTAAACACGGAGAGCTGCGGACCTTTTTCGGCTGTCTAGCTCGAGGACTTCAATTCCTACACGGGAGAGGTATACTACATGAAGATATACAACCTCGCAATATCTTGGTACATCAAGGGAATGTCCTGTATACAGATATCGGGCAACCATCTTGTCAATACGACAAAGACCGCACCATGTTGGCTCGTATGTCGCTGAGGTACGGTGCTCCTGAGTTAGCAAATCAACAGCCCGCAAGCAAGTCGTCCGACATCTGGAGCCTGGGGGTCGTCTTTCTCGAGATGGGTGCGGTGATTCAGGGCGTGACGGTGGATTATATCTATAAATTTCTCCAGAAGCATGGGATGAGACAGCCGTATCCGCGGGGGGATATTCCTAGCATTGATGTTTTTATTGCTGGGCTCAAGAATGGTGCAAATCATGCCGACAATTTATCACTTGAGTGTGTCAAAGAGATGCTTGTGTCAGAACAAGAGCTACGGCCTACAGCATCATCGTTGGTGAAATCTCTCAAGAGAAGGGACGTAGAAAAGGCTTTCTTTGGGACCTGCTGCTCGGATTTCATGATGGAAGGGTCGCCTCTGTCAACGTGGGATGATAAAAAGGTCCCGTGCTTTCCGACATCTGCCACTACTTTTAATTTTTCATGATGCAAGGGCAGTCTCCTATACTGTAGTATGATAAAAGGGTCTCGTGTGGAGGGTTACAAGAAGAAGAAGCGCTTTTGTTCCTAGAGGGCATCTCTCTTCACCTCTTTCCTAGTAGCGACAGCTATCGTAGAAATTTTCTATGAATCTTCACCCCGCGATCGCGGGTCGGAGACCTATCTATTGGCTTACAGCCCAACATTTTGCTGCGTTACAATAGTCAATTCGGTCTTTGAGGCTATTAGATTTCGGTAGCCGCTCGCTACGACGAGGTAGCACCGGAGGGATAGAGAAATGAGGACCATGTCCCTCTAGAGCAGCCCTTATACATGTAGTCACCCCCGCGCGGCGAGTCTAACGGGCTGCTCGATCTCTGACTAGACTAGACCATGTTCACTTTACCCGATGTATTGTTGTACTAAAAACACCACTTGTTTTTGCCATCGCCGTGGTGATCGAGATTTCTGGACAGGTTAGGACAAAAAGGTTTTAGGAAAGTGATAAGGACAATGTTGGGGCTGGGAATCATTAACGCTAGTGAGTTGAATGTAGCATGAACATAACGGCAAGAATTTGAATATAGGAACACCACGTAGCTTGATGCGGATTTTGCGTTGACCATCGTATTTAATTCGCCTTCAGTAAATTTTTCGCCGACCTCCCCTCATCATCACTTAGGTTAGCGACCTCATCCACCCTCGTTTCAACAATCTTTCCCTGCTCTTCCAGCGGTACACCCTCATCATCCACTTCCAACAATACCGTTCGCTTCCCCTTCTTCCGATGAAACTTCACTTTTTTCTCTCTTTTCGGTGACCCAGAACCAGTATCCGATTGAGTTGATGGAGAAGATGATGGCGGCCCGTTATGACTACGCAGCGCGCTCTTGAGCGGAACACTACTTACCTTGTTAAGCGGCGACAATGGTTCGTTCATGATGATGAAACCTTCTACAATGGGAGTTGCAGGCTCGTCTTCCACATCCATCACCGCCTCCCCAAAATCGGCCTCCCAGTTCTCTTTTTGCCAGTCTCGCACGACGCCTGGTTCTATCCGCAACCACTTCTGTCCCGCATCTTCCTCTCCAGGCGCCGGCATGCCTTCTACGTGCCAGTATAAGAGGTAGTTGTAGGTACCAGCATTCCACCTTAGACCGGTGCAGTCTTCCACCAGCACACCCGTTGTTACGTACCATTCGATATTTCGTTCTTTCATCGCGGCAAAGGCAGCGGGATCGCCGATGCGGTAGCGCTTACCGACTGGAAATTGCCAGCGAAAGGGGAGGGGGCGGAGCTCGTCGAGGGAGGAGGCCCGAGAGCGGATTGATGAGGGTAAGGTGTTTAGAAGTTTTTGAGTAGATGGCTGATGTGTCGGGCCGTGTGGGATGCGGGAGTCGGTTGCGACCCCGAGCAGGCCTTTGACCCTATCTTCTGTGCTCTCATCTAGTGCGTGGCATCGTGCTCGAGGCGCGAGATGAGTTGGGGGTATACATTCTGCTGGCTCTGATATCTCTAGTGCACTGCCTTCTCGCCGGATTGCTATCGATGCATCCGCTAGCAGGCCCAACCTGAATGTGCTACCTGGGCTTGTATGTCCTGTACCAGGAGCGTAATCGAGGTCAGTCTCTATTGAGGTTTCTGGGAGATGCTTGGCAAGTTTAGGATAGTCGCCGCATACCACAAAGTCCTCAGTCATGTTGCGCATAGCGTGGGTAACTGCTTCCAACTCTTTTGATACTCGGCTTTTGCTCAATATTAGCAGAGAATAGCAAGTCACAAGCAGACTTACACCAATGCGATAAACAATGGCGCAACTAGATAGTCTTGTTATAGAAGATTGGTGTGAGCAAGATTTTGCCTTAACTATATGGTCGCTGTGATGCCCTGCGACGAAGACAGAAGCTTAGCTGGCGGTTCTTGACGTTCCGCGTCCCTATATTCATGTTGCAGGAGGTCGATAGTCTTCATGCACCAATGCTTCAATGTGTTGAATGAACGCAATAGGTGTGTGATGGGATCTCAGCAGATCTCAGCTGGCGGTGATGGCACCCCTTGCATTGGGATATTCCAGCAGTAGCCACCTGCAGCATCGTGGCGTGACCACGGCAAGCTGTGACCAGCGCACAATGAACGTCACAACGTTAATTCCCTAGTGAACTGACTCTCCGGGAATCAGCACAGCGCATTCGATGCATTTTCGAGAGAATCTTGGCGTAGGTCAATAAGATGAGGTTGGTAGTGTAGAAGCAGGGACAGGTGCCAAGACGGATTACCGAGACGATCCCGGTTAGAGGTGCAGTGGCGTGCAGGCTACGGGACGGCCTGGTCACGTATCTTCTCCATTGCGCGTGCGACGCCTTCCGTATTGGCTGACCGGCCTGCTGCCTTCCCTTTGATCTTCGACGTCCTTCTCTTCACAGCCGGCAATACACTCCTTCACCTGCACCGGCCCGCTGCTTCGCCTATCTTCTTCTGCACTACCACGTTGCTTTCACCTACAAACTTTAACTAGTGCTGCGTGCCGTCATGTTTGCTCCCGGCAAGCCCAAGATCAAAACGAGAACCGTCCTCGTGAAGAAAGCACCCACCCCCACAGCGAACCCCTCACCGTCACCACACACACGACCAGGCAACGGCACACGTAGTCACAGCGCATCAGGGCCGCCATCGAATCGATACCAGTCCACCCCGCGCTCGCAAGCAGCCGCACGGGAACCAGCGCGCAAGTCGGTTTCCGTGTCGCGTGTCGACACTCGCAAGCGCAAGGGCACCGATACACCGCAATGGGCAAGCAGCGACGAATCCAGCGATGATGAGGACAGTGACCGGCTGGGCGTCAAGCGACGGAGAACGCGGCCCGCGAGTAATAGTATTGAGCCTATGAGTCTGAACCGCGCACTCGAGCCGGACTTGAAGAGACGTATACGAACAGAGGAGGCAGACACAAAGGCCAAGGCGAACGGGACTTCGAACGGGACATCAAATGGAGTTGCAAACGGCACAAACGGCACGTCGGATATGCTGAAGATGGCACAGGAAAACGCCGCCTTCAGGAAGAAAAAGGCCGTGTCGGGGAAGAGCACACTAAAACACGGTTTCGAAATGACAAAAGACGACGTCGCAAAAGCCTACAAATCCGCATTCCCCGGTAGCGAGAAGAAGTTCACTGTCGAACTCCAATACCCCAGCCTATCACGCCCCGAGAAATTCGAAGCCGTAGCGCGCAAAGAGGTAGACGAAGAATACAGCCCCCTAGACGACATCTACTTCAGCATAGAAGAAATCATCCAGCACTATCTCCCACCCGACCTCGCTGCCGAACTCTCCTCCGACGCCCTAGGTACCGTCCGCCTCCTAAAGCGCGCCGTAACCAAAGACGACCCGGAACTCTTCAAAGCTGAACTCGCCAAATTCAACAAGCTGATCAAGGACCAATATGCAGATGGCACCATACCACGTATCCTCGACGACATGCACGCCATCCCCCTCAGCCTCGTCAAGCGCATAACAGCACAATCCTACAACCGCATCGTCTCCCCACACGCACACCGCCTGCGCAAAGTCGAAGGAAAAGAGACCACCTACGGCGAACTCTTGACGCCTTTTGTCCACAAAATCTTTGCGCAAACAGGGCTAAACAGCACACACACGTTTGTTGATCTGGGTTCCGGTGTAGGCAACGTCGTCCTACAATCCGCTCTCCAAACCGGCGCCGAATCCTGGGGCATCGAGAAGATGAAACTAGCCGCCTCCCTCGGATCGGAACAAGCTGCCGAACTCAAAGCGCGCAGTAAACTCTGGAACATTACGCTCGGTCGCATCGAGCTTATCGAGGGGGATTTCTTGGAATCCCCGGAGATTGATGAGGTGCTGAGAAGAGCGGATGTCGTGCTGGTGAACAACAAGGTGTTTGGCGAGACGCTGAATAATTTGCTGTTGCAGAAGTTTTTGGATCTCAAACAGGGATGCAAGGTGGTTAGTCTGGAGAGCTTCGGTGGGGGTGCCAAGCAAGGGGTTAGGAATGAACAGAGTATTGCGGGATTGTTTGATGAGGAGAAGTATGAGAGTGGGACCAACAGCGTTAGTTGGGCGGGCGAGAGTGTTGAGTATTTCATCGCGGAGAAGGCGAGGTGAGGGGCGTGTGTTTTTTGGTAGTCGTGGTGATCTCTTGATATTTCTTTAGATGGGGCGGAAATATACTAGGGAGGATAGCTAAAGGTTTGTACTATACGGGAAGAGCTGGGAGGTCAAGGCAGTCTTTGGACATGTTTTCTGGATATTTACAACAGCAACAAACAAAGGGGACGGGTGGGCGAGCGAGCGAGCAAAGGCGGAACCAGTCAACTTTTGAGCATAGCACGTCTGGCGTTTGATTTCACATCAATACCCCTCCTATCTCTTTATGTAGCTATACCAACCACAAAACTAAACAAGCTATAAGTGGAATCAGTTTTATGCCATATGTCTACCTCGTGAACGATTTGGGTCTTGTACTTGTGTTATATCCAAGCTCCAAATTCTTACGTCACTTCATCCATGCTCCATTTTTGTCATATTGAAAGAGCACTTTGGTTGTATTATATATACCGAAGGATAGTAAAGAGCGCCATCCGCTCCATGTATATATATAACCCAGAATTAACCAGATCCCCAACCTATCCCGCCAAACACCATATATGCAATATGTATCGTAAAGGAGCGTGTATCGGGTATCGAACAAAACCACCACCACCCAAAAAACAAAAAGGAGCGACGTCGCTAATATACAGACAAAATCTCGACCAAAAACAAGAATGCAAATGTCGTGTTCTCGTAATATATTTATATACCCGAATCGTATCCACTCCCTTTTTCAACACTTTCCTTCATCCTTGCTTCCTAGAACAAGAAAGCAAGTGCTCCCAAGCCAGCAACAAAGCCCACAGCCCCATTCTTAACCGCAGCACCACTCTGCACCGTCGGACTCTCCGTCGCATCGCCTCCATTACCACCGGCCGTCGCAGTGGCCTGAATGGGATCGACAAAGGTATAACTCGTCATGGTACTAGGGCGGCCCTCTGCATCCGTCGTGGTAATGAGCTTGATGGAGCTGACCAAGCCGCCACCGGGTGTATACGTAGTCAAGAAGGTGGACCCTTGCTCGTCCGTCTCGGTTTGCACCTCGCCGGCCGTGGGCGCGTAGTTTGCGGCTGATGTGGTGACGGTGGTGCGGCCTGCAGAATCGGTCGTGGTGCGGATGACGGCGGGGCGGTTCTGGGTTTCTGTGCGGACGACGGTGGAGCCGCCGGCGACGTTGGTCAGGGTGCGGGTTACGGGGACGGAGGCGGTGACTTCGGAGAGGACTTGTGTGGTGCGGACAATGGTTTTGCCGTCTTGGGTTTCGGTGGCTTCGACGGTGATGATGGCGGGGCGCTGCTGGGTCGTCGTGGTTTGCACCTGGGTGGCGGTTTGGACAATGGTTGTGCCGTCTTGGGTTATGGTTTGTTGCTGCGTGTTGGTGACGGTTGCGGCCGGAGGGGGGTTTGCTGTTGTTGTTGCGTCGTTGGTCACTGGGGGTTGCGACTGCTGCTGTGTCTGTGTCTCCACCTGTGTGACTGTGGTGCCGTCTTGCGTCTGTACCTGCGTAACCGTCGTCTCTTGCTGTTGTGTCTGCACGTTCGTGACGGTGGATGCAGCTGGCGGTGGTGCCTCACTTGACTGTGGCGCAGGCGCCGCAGACTCAATGACGGTGGTGGTGCCGTTGCCCGAAGGCGCCTGTCTCTTCTTCAAGTCGTTGACAGCGTCCACGATAAGCTTGGTAGCCAGCGCCGGGTCTTCGTTGTGGATGTGTTCGACGCCCCGGTGATGCGATTCAAAGACGCCATTCTTGAAGTCCTTGAGTCCGCTCAATGCAGCTTGCAGAGATTCCTCCGGCAGCGCGTTCAACAAGTCCTGGAACGCTTCGTGTGCGCTTGCGTAGATGGTCTTAGGGTGGTCGGCTTGTTTGTTTGGTGCAGCACCAACGGCAGTGCTCATCAATGGCAGGGCCAGAACGGCCAACTGGCAGAAAGAACGCATCGTGAGAGAAAGTCGGCGAGCACGAAGGGAAACGAAGGTAGATTCTCAACGAAGGGAAAGCGAAGCTGCGTGAAACGTGTTAGCAGGTCGTCATGCTACAACCATGGCCGTCATGTGTGTACAGGAAAAAGGAAACCTGTTCCGGACAGGCAACTGGAACTGTTAAAGCGAATGGGCTGGGGTGACTGAGAAACGTCGCGGACTGGAGAAGCAGGCTTACGCACAATCTGTCGCTTCCGAGTGGCTGGTCAGTCTAGACGCCACAGCCCGACAATCGATAGTCGGCTCTTATTTATTTCCAATTTCCAACGTTCAATCCAGAACTACGTTTCTTTTTGCCGGCAGAAAAAGAAAGAAACAGCGAGTGTATCCGTATCGTTCGTCCGTTCGTTCGGTTAGCGATCAACAACGAGTGTGATGTGCAAGAAGTGGGCGAAACGTGTGGAGTAGAAGGCTTCGAAAGAGGAGAAACGGAAGATCAGTCCTTAAGGCAGAAGGCGATACGGTTCCTGTACGAAGTAACACCAAACTAGCTTTAGCTAAAGCGCTGCTGATACATGGGCACTAACTAGGGAGCTTGACAAGAAACACGAGGTTTGGACCCGCTATTGCTCATGGATCCCATCATCACCTTTCGCCTCTCAAGCACGCCTAACAGAGCCAAGCATCATAATCCCGACCTTTCCGTCGCGGATCATGCGTAGGCCCGCCGGAGGTGCGTTCAGCATTGGAAAATCGGTATTCTTCTAGATCTAATTGCTTGTCGTGCATGCCCCCCAAGCAACGCATCATCCCGACACGGATCAATCCTTGCACGCGAGATACAATCCAGCTGGATACACACATATACACGTTGCAAAACTTCAACCATGAAACGGCTTACAGACTGAACCGAACCGGGCCTAGCAAAAAAGTTGGCACGTAAACGTCGGGGTCGGTATATACGAGATCCCCCCCTGCAAACGTGCAAAAGGGCTCGTTCGCTTGTTCAGCCAGAACGTCATGGATGGGCCGAGCGAGCCAGTCACCGATAATAGCTCCCGGTCGGACATCCAGCGCTTTGAGAGAAAGCCTCAGCACGGTTTCAACATGCGAACAGAGCGACGACATTAGTCTCCGTGTCCGCGGACTATATCCCTCTACACAATAGCATTATAGCCATCGTCATCGCAATCTTGTTTTTATTCTGCCTTGCCTTTGATTCCAGTGGTCTACTTACAGCTCGCAGCTGAACTCGGCTGCTTACGACACTTCCCCTCGTGTTTTCAAAAACCAACGTGCTTCCTCGCTCTGACACTTCGTATCTAACAAGCACGTATCAACTCCGCTCCGGCGGTTCTAGCCCCTAAAACCGTCGAATCACGAATACCCCCGTCTGCCGGAGATCTTAAAATAGCTACAACACACAGTTCGTAGCCTATGACTATGCTGCCAATCCAGTTCCAGACTTGTGCTCGCATATCTACCCACTCAGATGCATCTAGGCTGCTACTGCTGCTGCTCTCGAATACGTGTGTATATGCGCAAACCCGCTAGCGCGTTCGGCATGTCGCCACGACGCTATGTCGTAGCAATTGTTGTTGGGCATCGGCCTGGATGCGGACTACGGCAGAGACGGCAGCGCGGCGTCAGAACGGTAGCAGCGCCGTTGGTACTCAACATTGTAGCGTTTTTCATGTGTAGCAAGTAGATTTGTAGGTTGCCATGTATCCTTGGCTTTGATATGTACTGGTGTTCTGGAGACTTTTACAAGATGAGAATTGCTTTTTTGCTCTTGTCTACTATTGAAGAAAAGATAACCCCGCATGACTGTTGCTCCATGTTTGGTTCCTGGGCTGTAGCCTACTAACTAAGAAGACAAGGAAAAAGAGTTCCAGTCTTTACCTTTTGGGTAGCTTAACATCGGCCTACATTTCTATCCGCCACCAACATAGGCACGACAAACAAACTCCTGGGTATACACCACGATCCAGTATCACAACACCTCACACGGAAAATAAACGAGCCGCGTCCGCAATGGCCGCTCCAAACCCGATAAGAGCTCAACACCAAACATGGTTGTAGAAATGAAAATGAGAATGGATTATCATTACCAGGACCGCACGCCATGCATCAACGCTCAGATAATACTTTGCTAGCACGCTCATCACTTCGTCGCAACATCGTTGTATGCAAAAAACTTCCCATGACACGTACGCTTTTTCGGACTGAAACCGCCTACCATGTAGCCATCAGCACTCTGCCCACCATGGCAGATCGTAAACCTTTATTCCGGACAACGCCTCTCACACTTCGCTCTCTATTCCTTGTCCAACACATCCCTCAATCGCTCACTGCATAGGAAAACGTCTAGCTTGGTACTACGGAGCCGGTTGCTCTCTTGGCACAACCGGCTCTGTCTCCTGTTCCTGCGCTGCCAGCGCATCGGAGATAAGTTCCTGGTTCACCGTCTGAGGCGTAACAGTAACAGTCGAACCAGAAGAAGAATGCATCGGCCCACTCGGCGTTGATACCGTTTGCCCAGTAGGTACCTCCGTAGCCGTTGAGTTTTCGGGCTGTGTAGTAGTTGGCGCCTCAGCTTCGACCTGTTCACTACCTGCGGCACTCTGGGCTGCGACTGGTGTTGCAGCAGGGAATGATTGTGCAGGAGCCATGGCAGTGATGGGTGACTTGGGATTCCTATCAGGGGACCTTGCAACAGATCGCGGTTCAGTCAATGCAGCTGGAAGATCCGTTCGTAACGCCATCGCCGGGCTCATTCTGGCAGGTTTCGGACTCGCACTCGCCGCTGGCGCTTGCACATTCGGCGGCTGTGGCGGGGTCGGGCTCGTCCCGGTAGGCGTAACGTCGCTCGATTTATCCGTTTTAGTCGGCGTGGCCTCCATTGTCGAGTGTGACGTTGGTACTTCTGACGTCCGCCCCCTCGCGATAAGCGACTCTGGACTCTGCATAATGTTCTGTGAAGGAGGCAAATGGCTCGAGCTACCCGGGGGGCTCTTGGCACGTTCGCGCCTGTCCACGCGCTCCTTGTGATCCTGCCTCCGTTTGTGGAACCAGTCAAACGCACCCTTCTTATCTGACTTCTCATGATCAGGGGGGCTGCTGCCGAAGAGTACAGAGTCGGAACTTTGGTTCGTATCGTACTGCATGCTCCTCCTTCCTCCACCTCCTGCGGTCGTCCATCCAGAACTGCTGGCAAAAGAGCTCATACTCTTGTCTGCACCAGGCACGGAACCATGCAGATCAGTGGTGCTTGTGGTTGGCGTTGCCTTGCTTTCTCCACGCCTATGACCTTTCCAGAAGCTGCGTTTTTCCTCTTTTGGCTGATCATCTGGCTGCTCACTCTCTGAGTATTCTGTCGCCGTGCTGTGGGACCGGAAACTGGCAGAGGGGGACATGCTGGGCTTGAGTGTATTTCCAGAAGCTCGCGAGGAGTCCGGCAGATTGTCCCTGGAACTGCTCGCTTGGGATTGACCTTGCGCGAAGGGAAGCGAAGGTGGTTGTAATGGCGAAGGAGGCCCTTGAGAGAAATGACCACCAAATCCTGAATCGCTGCCACCAAGAGAGTGCGTGGAGCTATGTGCACTCATGCTAACGCTGTTTGGCATCCTCTTCTTCTGTAGTTTGTTTGGCTTCTTCCCGTCTTTGGATTCCTTTGACTCGTTTGGAGGAGAAGCTGCGACCTTGGCTAGTATTTGGGTAAAGGTACGAACTGCAGGTGTTAGTCCAACATCGGGTCCCGAGTCAACGGGTGCTTCCATGAACTCTGAACGCTCACGTGTTGGCGTATGATGGGGACTGTGAAGAGGACTACGCTGGGGACTGCGTGGACCCGGCGTAGTTGATCTTGGAGGCAACAGGTTCTGTGCCGTTGTCTGCGTGGGGACATTGGGAGTGGTAGGCTGGCTTGGAGGGATGATGCCTGGAGATGGGAGAGGAAATCCGCCCGGCATATTGTGGGTGGCAGGCGTAACTGCGGGTCTATGCTGTAAAGGTTCTGTGGATTGCATAGCTGTTTCCGGCGGACGATAAGGCTGGTAGGGAGTGGGCATCTCTATCTTGTTTGGTGGCATGGTCTGCGCCCGTTGTGGCTGTGCCACTTCCGGATCTACAGGTTGTGTGGCTGGAGCAGTTACTAAAGACTGCGGGCGTTCCCGCGGAGCTTCTGTTACTTGTGTAGCTTCCGTTACTTGTGTCAGCTGCTCAGGGGCAGGAGCCTGAGCAGTTGGGCTGACAGCTTCTGGTATATCTGCAGGCATTGGTGATGAAAGTGGACTCTTCGTGTCTTCAGGACCAAGTTGCTTGGCCGCAGGGAAGCGAGGGCTTCCAAGCGCTGGGGAGCGCTTCGAGGGTAACGTGTTGCTGCGATGTACTCCAGATGTCGTCGGAGTGACGAATGCAGGTGTGATGGGACTGGGCACAGCGCCTGAGCGTCGTGAACGCTTCGAAGATGTGGAGACGTTCCTGCGGACACCGCCATATTGGCGAAGACTCTCCGCACCAGCGCTCGAAGTAGTCGACGCCGACCGCCCAATACCAGTGCTGTTTCGAGGAGTAGTGGGTGTTCTTGCTTGTGGAGTGGAAGGTCCGCTTTCAATGTGCTTAACAGTACCTTCATCGACTGCTGTGCCTTCCATACCAATCAAGAAGTGGTCCTGGTTGTCGATGAGGAAGATGAGCACGTCCTGGCTTAGCCTATAATCTACGGGAGACATGTCGTGCTGTGGATGCGAGAGGAGTCCAGGCTGGAAGATGGCAGCCAGGTTTGAGGTTGTCATCTTGTTAACATCAGCCTTGGCGGCGAAGACTGCAAGCAAGTCCAAGATATAGAGCAGAAGTTGTCGGTTCAGAGACGGTAGAGCCTTGATCTCGTGCTGATAGGTGCGCACAGCGGCGTCTGGATCGAAACCTCCCACCGAAGGTTGCTGACCTTCGCTGGGGCCTACAGCCTCGGCCTGGTGGCCTTTGAGAGGATCCCGGAACGGGTCATAATGCTGCAGTGGTATGATGGGCTCCGGGAGGTTGTTGAAATAGCGTCGCAGAATGTTGGCGGCGTCGTGTACAGTATACCCGGACCAATCTAGACCTTTTCCATAGCGGGGAGGTGTGTCAAAAGCAGTCCTCAGCTCTTTGATGCGCTTCTCGGAGCCCGCTAAGCGGAAGATGCCTTCTACGTCGGTCGCTGTGCGCTGTTAGCAGCCGGCGCGAGAAGGGACTCGCTTGACTGACCCTTTTCCTTGAGGAAGACACCGCACTTGGCGACGACGATTGGAACGTAGCCGTAGATGTAGCTCTCACCGTGCTCGTTGAAGAGCGATATGGCGACATTCGCATAGGGGATGCTTTGTATGAGGGGCACGCCAAAGATGCCAGGAAGAGTGGGTTCTAGTGGGCGCGAGTTAGTGATGCTCGCGACAACAGCGGCGCATTTGGTACCTTTGTCGTCGTCCTTTTTCGCAGGGCGCTTGCTAAACTGCCTCCACCACGAGGTCAAATCTCGACGCGACGAGGCGGGTTCTGGCGTTGCGACGGGGGCGGGCTGGGGCTCGCCATTGCGCACGCGCGGAGTGTGGGGATTGGTGTGCGTGCCTGCGGGCGCCATGGCAGGCTCGATGGTGGTGAGGGACAGTCGTGTGGATTCGGGTCCTGTCCAGGTACAGGTGGGCCCCAAGTGGGCAGGCGGCAGCTGTCTGGGGGCCGCCGCTACGTGACGTCGGAGGGTAGCGAGGTAGGTAGCGAGGGAGCGATGGTAGCGAGCGTGCACGAGGTGTCAGCGGGGCCTCTCTCGTATTGCTGTGGCGGTGACGGAGAGATGGTGGACAGGTCGGACAGAGCGCGAGCCTGAGCCTTGTTGACGCGACGGGCGGTTAGGGGTACAGATGCAGCTTGTCGTCGGCAGGCTCAAGGCTGTCGGGTCACGGCCGTCGGGTCAAGGCCTGGTCGGGCGCAATATCTTCAGCGCGCGCCTGAAACTGTGGCTCGAAGCGACTTGAGCATGCAGGGTCGCCTTCTGCGAAGGGCAATGATCGCAGGCGGGCGAGGGAATCAAGTGGCAGCCCGCCGCTCGACTGACGATGAGCAGCAGCTTAGCGGCTGGTGATGTGTGGCTGCGGGCCAATTGTCACCATCCAAGGAAGACGGCACGGCGTCGCCTGACTGACAGACACAAACGCGAGGCGTGAATCCAGACGGACGGCAAAATACAGCGGCGATCAATACGGATAGCGGGTTGCAGCTGGCATTAAGAGGGGCGTGTTATCATGTTATTCTTCGATTATCGCTGAAGTTGGTTCCAATAATAACGACCGTCTTGGCGGGGGGGAAAGGTACAGGTACTGGTACAGCAAATGCGGGAGACGATACCAGTCCAAGATATGCGACGGCACAGGCCATTTTTAGCATCCCTTCCAGACTGCCTTGCAAGTATTGATTCGAGCATGAACCATTCAATCCCGCTGCCAATCCCAGCCATGAACACAAGAGGGCTTGTTTCCCGTCGTTTGGTGACTTGAAGGAGCGTGGACGGGCCGCCCGGTGGCCTAGCTCGCGCCTACATTTTTGGGCAAAGGCTCGTCAGCACAGCATCCAGACAACCACCCGACGTCATACCAAATTTCCGATTGAGTAAACAATAATCCGTAATCACCAACACATACACCCCCCAGACGCTTGCGGATATCATGGACTCGTATGCAACTCTGAATTGATCCCTTGAGACTAGCAAAACTAACCGCATGCAGACTCACGGCAAATGAACAGCGCGAGCTGCAGTCGCGCATGGAGAAGAAGCAGATGAAGGAGTTTATGAACGTGAGACTTACCGGAATCACCCAATCCCCGGGCGAGCATCATTGTGCTAACCGTCCTAGATGTACTCCAACCTCGTCCAGCAATGCTTCGACCACTGCGTCAACGGCTTTGAGAGCAAATCCCTTACCTCGCGCGAGGAGAGCTGCGTTATGCGATGCGTCGACAAGCACATGAAGGGCTCCCAGCGACTAGGCGACCGCTTCCAAGAACAGAACGCTGCCATGGCACAACAAGGTGGAATGAGATAGAGGCTTTGCAAGCCAGCAAAGGTGGCATAGGCGGAAGATGAAATCTTTGCGACCATCGCCCGTGATCCGCCACGAGCTGGTAGTAGGCTCAAGGGCCATGGTGACGGCTAGCTATGTTATTTGGCACGACCTGTATTATAGAAACGAACTTTGGAATATGGTCCTACGCGGACAATGATTCGTATGCCTTTGGCAGGCTTGGTTCACGCAAGCTTTAACCTTGCTATAGGGTCAGCTAGCAATTCAGCTACCGCTGTCACTTGTCCCACTTCAGCATCTTCCTGGTAATTGAATTCGCGGTGAATCCGTTTGCAGCGTGCAAGACTGCTACTTGTCCGTGTCGAGTCGCAGGTGACAGGCTAACCACGCCCACGTCTCACTAATCGATGCTCACAGCCTCGAACGTCGTCATGCCAGTGCCACAAAGTAACATCTCGGCCCTTCTAACCTGCAATGCTGTGGCGCACCACAGCGACTGCACTCTGCCAATATCCAAACAATCTAGAAGTGGCCAATGAAACGCGTCTAGGTCCGCGAAAACATCCAGACCGTACTGTGCGCGCTCGATGCAATCTCCACGAAGATCGCTTTTAGCGGTGGCTGTGCTGCATCTCCCAAGCCCTTGGCTCCCAGCCTATGACGCAGCTGCGACAGCTTCACCGACCCTGTTCTTGCCCTGAATCACGCGTTCAGCTTCTCAAACACCTCCTATATAACTCACGCGCTGCGAGTACTTTTCAGCTACACCACAACAAGAACCTTTTACAAAAGAAGACGATTTGTCCATCTGTCCAAACTTAAACCACTTCCTTCCAACCAACAAACAACAAGCAAACATGGGTCTTCTGTGGACTAAACATTGGGGAGGCCGCCATGCCGGTAAGTAGCCTGCCTAAGAGCCGTCTGTTCCGGACACTGCGCAGGCAAGTTGCTGACAGGATGTTAGGTGGTGGTGTTGTCGCTGACCGTCACGGCGTACGTCGCGCGCCCTTCCGTCTCTCCTGCGGACGCTTCAGCTGCTTCCGCTAAACATCGACGACGACATTTCACGACTGTAAGCTTCACCAGAATCAACACACCGCACCGTGTTCTAATCTTTACAGCTCTACATTCCATACTATAATGATTCTCTTGCGACGGCGTTGGTAGGGATTGAATGTGCACGGCAGCAAATGCATACTTCAGCGAGAAGTCTAGGCGATGCTATGAACATGCATCTGCGACGCAGTCGCATGCATCTACTATACCCTCAGTAGCCTAATACAACACATATATTCCTCTGCACTTCCGCTTTCCTAAAACTGTATTTCTCGCATGCCAACGTGCAACCCGTTGTTATGTACAGGTACACAGGCAACCGATAGGTACAAGAGTGCGAACGATCTGGAACATGACGTCACGCACCACATCCTTGTCCGTCTCCACTCCATATGCCCAATCCCCTCACGCGATGCGCCACACTGGTAAACTTCGCAGCGGGGTCAACCCGCCTCTGCATATATACATAGCTACACAGTGATAGCAACCAACCAAGAAAGCCAATGGGCGAATACCGAAACGGCGACAAGGTCAACACACGATACGCCACAATGCGGTCCATACTCATCATCAACCCAAACTCCACAGAGGCAATGACAGATGGACTGAAACCACTTGTCGAGATGCTGGGATTCAAGGATGTCATTCACCACCTTTTACCACAATAATCACATACGTGCAGCGGGAAAAAACTAATCAAGGTGTTAGGGGTAAAACAGACCGCACACACGTACTTCACCGCGCCTTCGGGGCCCAAGAGCATCAACAACGAAGACGACGCGCGAGAGAGCGTGCAGCACTGTCTCCCGGCGCTGCGACAGGAGTTGGAGAAACACGATGGGTTCTTGGTCGCGTGTTATAGTCAGCATCCGCTTGTGCCGCTCTTGAAGGAAGAGCCAGCTGTCAAGGGCTCGAGGAAGCCCGTCACTGGTATCTTTGAAGCGAGTGTTGCTGCGAGTCTGCAGCTCATCCACCCAGAGGAGAAGTTTGGTGAGTGATTTATACATATATCTCTTTTCTTGGGAGGCACAACGAAGAGTGGCATGTGAGACGGATGATCTGACTCTGAATAACCGCGGCTACAGGTATTGTCAGTACGGGCAAGGTCTGGGAAGAGATTCTGACCGATGCTACGATTGCTTTTCTCGGTACGGGTGCGGATGCGGGAAAGAGATTTGCAGGTGTTGAGACGACGGGACTTAATGCTACGGATTTGCATGATGCGCCTGCTGAGGAGGTCCGGAAACGCATGAAGGATGCTGTCAAGAGGTTGTTGAAGAAGGGTGGTGTGGGGGCGATTTGTCTGGGTTGTGCGGGGATGGCGGGGATGGATAAGATGGTTAGGGAGGCATGTGTGGAGGAGTTGGGTGAAGAGAAGGGAGGACAGGTTAGGATTGTTGATGGGGTTGTTGGGGGAGTTGCGTGGTTGGAGGGGGCTGTCAGAGCCGTCTTCTGATAGAGGATGTCTGATGGAGCTAGGAAAAGAGTGGATCGGACAAGCTAGATAGTGGTATGCACCATCCCATGTCTGCCGACTTTATGTTTGACTGATCAAGATTGCGCCGCATGGGTTAGAGGTGGTTCAATTCGTCGAGAAGATAAATGAATTGTATAGAAGAGCGGAAATGTTAGAAAGATGGAATGAGTCGCATGCAATGCGGGTGTTGCGAAATTGATCCAGACAATGATCTCGTTTATTCTCACAACCTCAAGCTGCCCAAACCCTTGACAAGTGCTCCAAATGGATCCTAGACAACTGTCAATTCTGGGTCACCATTTTTCCCTTTTTCACGTTTCGAATTCAGAAAGGTGAACGATGGTCTCCTCTGCCACCACTTAACGCGCTTCGTGCCTGTAGCCATGGTTTCCTGCTCAACAGCAGCGCCTTGTTTAGGCGCGGCTTGCCAAAACCACAATGGGCTCTTTGGTCGAGTAATGTAGAATGCAACGAGCAAAGCCACTACGATGACCACGACAGTGATAGGGGCTGTAACGCTTCGTCAGTTTTGACTCGCCCCTAGTTCCAAGGTCACATACTCGCGACGCGCCACAGGTCCCAAGAAGTAGGGTTGTTCTCATCGCCACTGAGCTCTTTGACATTCTGGCCGAAGTACGACGTGAAGAATGAAAGGGGCAGCTATTTCGTAAAGTCAGATACATATCTCAAGCGCGAATGTCGCTATTGGACTCACGAAAACTACGGTGATGATTGTAAACAGCATCACAGCACGACCTTGAGTAGTCGCTGCCTGCGCTTCTTTTGCGCTTGATCGAGCCTCCGCGAGGCTTGCTGCATTAGATTTGAGATCCAGTAGGTTGAGCAGCTATACTGATCAGTTTGAAGCAACTCGCCAAAATTTTCACACAATTACCATTTTGCGAGTGTGCTCCGCATCTTTGCTGATGCTGGTGATCTGATGAATCAAAGGATCGACTGTCTCTTTCATTAGGTTGAGCGAGACTAAGTAGTCCATACCCAAAGCCTTGACCGAAGACTCAATAATCTCTTTCTGAATGCTGAAGAGATGTTCAATCATCTGCAGAGTGCCATTACGTGATCAGCCGAACTATAACGTGCACTGCAGTTAGAGCGCGTACCTTGAGTTCGTCAATGATATCTGCAACATCTAGAACAAGCTTCAGATCGCGACGATCGTTGAAGATAGTATTGTCATCTCCGCCACTAGCGTAGCCTTGTTGAAACTCCTGAAAATAGGATGTCTGAGTAGCAGCCTGTAACAGCAATTAGTCTGCACTGCAATGTCTTGCATGACATGAATCCAGTTGCGTTCACCTTTTTGCTAGTAACCCACCTATAGATCTCGACCAGATCTACCAAATTTCTGTTAGCTTGACTGAATATGTAGCCTACGACCTTCCTGGTCAGAAATAGGTACATATCCGCAACACTTTTCATTTCCTTTGGATCGCGAGCCAAGCTCTCTATAATGCTCTGATAAAGGTCTTGAACATCTGTTGGAGGAGCACTGTAGCTTCCGCTGGGGAAACTTGTTAATATGGTGTCTGATCCGATAGTCAGCAACCGAAAGCATGGCCAAAGGAGCACATGACGAACTTTTGTTGATGATCTAACACCAGAATTGATCTATAATGATCAGAAGACTATCAGTGCCAGCCTCTTCTTTGCCGTCCAACCCCAAAGCCGCTCCTGTCCATTTAGAAACGGTTTGATCTTTATCTCGGACACTTGTGTCGTGCAAAGCTGGATAGTAGAACTGATCAAGGGTTCTTCTTGGATACTTCTGGTTGGCGATGACTTCTGGAGATGTCATCATGGGCCAAGACCGCGATCCATCCACAGCTTGTGGGGTCCCGAAGTCAGCCAAGTAATATCGTTGTCTTTCTGCGTATCCATCGCGCGTCAACTGCTTATGCGTGTCTTTTGTGAGCAGATAATCACCGTATTCCATCCAACTCATGTAAGGAAGCTGTTCCAGGTAATCAGCGATATGTCTGTCATCTTCTGCAGATCGTCCAAGACTTACGTAGACTGTCAGAGGAGGTAGCGGATCTATGCCCCTCAATGCAAGTATCTCTTCGCCCGGAGCTTCCTGACGTGATGATCTAAGGGGAATGGGTACAGCGCCCCGAAATTCACTACCCTGCGTGCAAGACGGCTCCAAATGTTTCGCGTGTTCAGGCCAGACACGCTCCGCAGACCGAGTAGCCTCGGATCTCTGCGAAAAACTTGGACGTGTCTTCATAGTAGAGATCTCTGGGTCCATCGGGGCTTGTGTGCACTTCTCGAACCATTCCTAGTAGTATGTCAATATCGTTGTGCTAGAGCTAGGCTATTCCAAGGTCCGTCATACTCACATTCACCCAAACTAAATCGTTCGTTGGAACATGTATCCACCGAACTCCGAGTTCTTCAGGAGGAAGATCTGAGAATACATCAACGGCCTGTGCTCGTACCTCATGTTCGTCGTGACCTCCTCGTTGTACAGTATGTACAGTATGTACCCTGGCCACGTATCCTAGGCTGACATGGAATCCTCCCATAGCGACTGGGATTGTCTATCTAGACGGCAGTGAGATGCGGTAACAATAGTCAACAACATTGCAGGTATGTGCGGCATGAGGCGCTGTTATAGTGAAGTGATGTACCCAGATGTAGACGCGCACCTCGTGAATTAAACCTGCTTAGCATGGTCCAGCTGAAAAGGCAAGAAGCCAATGAGGTAGGCGCAACGGGCTTCTGATATGCAGCCTTGTTGGTGTGGCGCATGCAGCTGAAGTCAGCCTCATGGCAGAGCAAGTTACGTTCACATACAATAAATTGGTGGCGTCCGGATGACTCGAGCTATGGGCTAAGAAAAAATGAGTGCCTGATCTAATGTCTCAAGGATGTACCTATGTGCATCTAGATGCGGTTCTGTTATCCTGCGAGTGTTACCTGCATGGACGCCGCGGACCTCGGGAGCGGGGCACCTACATCCTTACTGGGTCACCACGACTGCAGTCGCGACTATTCCAACAAGATATCGATGTTCCTGTGATACAGATGAATTATAGAGAAATATGTTTTATAAGCCGCCTCTTAGAATCCATGAAGCAGTATAGCGGCTACTGATGGTAGACGGAATGACGTATGCAGAGATCCACAACTTCGGGCCGCATCGTTTCTCCGATACAACCTCAATGGTATCCTTTACACTACGTACATACAACTAGATCGGCACATATCGATACAGTGGTTTTGTTTCAGTATTATCCGTGACTGCGTCCTTCTCAGGCATCATGCAGGCGCTTCCAAACGAGCTCTTGGCCCAGATCGCCTCGCACCTCGAGTCTCAACCACCATCAATCACCAAATTCAACCACGAGCCAAGCGCAGACCTAGCCTTTTCGTATACCGAAATCAACACCAAGCCACTCAAATCCCTCTCCCTTGTTTCATGGCGCTGGAGAAAAGTGGTCCTTCCCATCCTCTTCCGCTTTACGCGCATAGCACTGGACAAGGAACCACAATGGGTGCCCATGGACGCTCGCCTCGTCGACAGTATGCAATTGCAGCTGTCTAGTCTAAGCAACCACGAATTCATGCTGTATACAAAGTTGCGCAGCAAGTTTAAAGCAACTACTGGAGATGCGTTCGCACCTGCTATGGATGATGTGTTCATCCAGTTGTGTCGAATTCAGGAAGGCGATGAGTTTTTGAAGACGACACCGTCGAAAGTGTGGTTACCGCATCTTTCCAGGGACTTCAATAATTTTTCGCGGTTTATCACAGGAAACAAGCTGAAACATCACATCAAGAGCGTGGTGCTGCACACGGATAAGGAATATGACTTGCGCCATGTATCTACCGCTCAAGGACCGTTAGCGCGCGAAGTCACCGACATCTGGAACAGGGTATTCGGTGTCTTGGAGCCAGCACGTGTTGTCGTCGCTGCACCACCCAAGACCATGGCCGCGTTGCTGGATTCACATGTGGGTACGAACGACATGTGGGCTTTCGAGATGAAGATGCACTATATTGAGCTTCTTAGAGATCAACCGCCCGTAGAGAACAACCAACAAGAACATCGAACAAACGACGCTCCACTCATTCATCGCCGACCCTGGAACCACTTGGGCTACAACGAAGGCTCCTCGATCACCGCATACAGCACATATGAATTTTATCTCAAGGTGGCGCCTAGGATCCTCAGCCTCGTTCTCAGTCGCTTAGGCGAGTACCCAGCATTGTGCAGAGATTTGACTTCATTTAGCTTCATCGCTGTCTTTCCCCTCTCTTGGACTGTATCGTCTATTGTAAAAGCCGTCTATGGAATCCCTTCCATCAGCAAAGTCTCGTTACAACTTGCGCCTGGCCCTGAGAACGACCTCCTCAGCAATGGCAGTAAGAGGCGCAAAGCTCAGTCAAGCGACTTTTGGTCCGAGTGGAGGACAGGATATAAGGTGCTTGCTATGATGGAGACATTACATGATCAAGCTAGAGGGGAAGAGGAGGCGGTGAAAGAGATTGTGAGCAAGGACTGCTATTCGAAGCAACTAGCTGTTGAGGTTGCGGAGGTTATCGATAATAACTTGAAGACGACGTCGAGTACGTGGAAGAGTGACGGAGTGGGGAGATGGATTAAGGTCAGGTCGGAGGATGAAGGGCATTAAAAAGCTGTTCTGAAGTTTGTGGTGGGGGATGAGCCGGAGTAGTCTACAAAACAAGTGACAGCGCTGTGTGATTCACATATGTTCGCGTGATATGAATTACATGACAGTAAGTTGTGTTTCAATATTTGAAAGGCGTATACGGTTGGTGATTCGAACATTGACAACACAAACATATCGCTACCCTGGATATTCGATAACCATTTCCTCAAGTTTTTCCATTCCTTCGACTTACGCCTCTTACTCTATGCTCCTCACATCCTTGACCCTCTGTCCACTCCTTTAACAATATCGGGCTACCAAAACATGATCGAACTCACGCTAGCGTCAGCACTCATAACGACACTCCTTCTCCTTCTACTTCAACAACGACAGTTGCACCGGCAAGTAATCAGACCTCGAATGGTTGCTCGTGCGCAGCGTCAGAAACGCATACGTACCCGGGACGAAGACCAGGAAGAAGATGAGGGTGGATGGGCGATTGGTGCGCGTAGACTAGCCAGTCCGGCACGCCAACCTCTTCCACTGCCAATCCATAGGGATGACGGAAGTGGAAGGTTCAGGAGGAGTCGGCTTGTTTCTGAAGATGACGTGCCAGAATCTCAAATCGCCAGACGTGTTCATGGGAATGGCAGGATAGAAATGCATGGGCGTGTAGATGTAGACTGCACAACGGAAGATTCATTAGCAACGTTCCAGCATAGAGATACCCGAAGTCCAGTTCCGAGGCCACGCATGACCATTATTGATAGCGACGCCACCATCGAGGTCCCATCGGATATGCAAGAGACAAGGCAAGGAAAGAGTCAGAATGTCAGCCAGCAGCGCGCCCTACGCGTGCGCTTCGACGAAGCATTGAGGATGCATAGTTTTGGCGGAAGTCAATACATAGGTCGAGTGATGGACAAGGAGTGTGCATTTCTACAATTGCCTATGGATGAGAAAGACCAAGAAGGAGAAGTGGACAAATGTAATATCTAGCGTATTTGCAAAGTTCATTCTATCTTGGGTATATCGTTGCTGTACGTCGCTATAATGTAACTGCGAAAAATGCCGTCCTCGATTGTCGTATCATGTATCATATGCCACTTACCATTAAAAGCCCAAACGTCGTTCTTGCAGACCATCCATATCATACCAGGTTGAGCCGAATCACAAACGCACCAAAAATGCGAACCCTCCTCTTTCATGCAAAAAGAAAAACATTACCTTATTGCTCCCTCACGTCACGCAAAGAATCTCCTGCCAACCCACCGTCCACCTCACACTCCCCATGATTATCACCAGCAAACCCAACCCTGCACCCACACTCGCGACCCCATACAAATAAGCAGCTCTTCTCTTCAAAGTATCAATCTCCACGATCCAAGTAGACACCGTCGTAAGGCAACCACAGAACCCATCCATGACCCCCTGCAACACACTACACCCAACCACACTCGCACCCACACGCCCCGTACTAGCCAACGGAACGTGCTGAAGATCATACGCCATACCCAAGACCGCCGTACCAAAGACATTAACGGTAAAAGTACCAAGCGGAAACGACGAATTAATAGGATTCAGCACCAAGGAGACATAATAACGGAGCAGGCATCCCGCGGGCGCAAAGACGAGGGCGAAGAGGGCCTGGGAGCGCCATGCCGAGTGCGGCGGTAAGCACACCATGATGATGGCGCCGAACCATGTGCCCCAGCCCAACACTACGAAGAGCGGATCCACGACGCGGCGTGTGAGCCGGAAGGGCAGGGTAGGCGTTACCCGGTC